GCAGGTTCGGTTCTTACATCAATAGTTGTGCGACTTTATCACATACGCTCGACCCGGAATCCAATGGACGAATTGAATTAAAAAAACACAATAATGTGTTTTTTTTTTGGTCTCGATATTCACGGAAGCCTCCAATTTGTAGGGGGCCGGACCATGAGAACGTGGCAAGAGATATGCAAAACAACTTGGTTGGCAATTTCACATTCAGCAAATAGACACAACGCGAGAGCAAATCGAAGCCTTAATTCCATCTAATTGCTGTATTCATGTCTACGTCAGATCGTGACCATCCCCGTCCTCGACTAAAGTTACAGAGCAATGAGACTGTAAGGAATTAGGCAAGGTCGGCAACTAATGCAGATGGGTAACTAAGGTGCCAATAAACCGAGAAAAATGAACCGTCCAACTCCGAATTCCCAAGGCCGTTTTTTCATTTCCCAGTCATGTTATCGTTTAGTCAACCTCCTCCATGGCGCTGTCGCCGGTCTCGGCGGCAGGGACGCCGGCATCAGCAGCAGGGGCCTCCTCAGCAGCCTCGGGCTCCTCGTCCAGGTTCAGGCCGAGAGAGACGAGCTTGTGAATGCGCTCGGCGAAGCCCGCAGGCTCCTCAATGGTGAAGCCTGAGACCAGAAGCGAGGTCTCGAAGAGGAGCTGGACGATCGACTTGACGGTCTTGTCGCTCTCGCCGTCGGCCTCGACCTTCTTCTTGAGCTCCTTGATGATGGGGCTCTTGGGCGAGATCTCGAACGTCTTCTTTGAGGACATGTAGCTGCTCATGGAGGTGTCACGAAGAGCCTGGGCCTTCATGATGCGCTCCATGTTGGCAGACCAGCCGAACTGGCCAGTGCGGATGGCGCAAGGAGAGCCGACCAGCTTGTGGGAGACGACGACCTTCTCGACCTTCTCGCCGAGGACGTTCTTGAGGGCCTTGGCGAGGTCCTCGTACTCCTTCTCTTCAGCCTCGCGCTGCTGCTTCTCCTCGTCGGTCTCCTCGAGCTCGAAGTCCTTGGTGATATCGACGAGCTTCTTGCCCTCGAACTCCTTCAGCTGAGTCATGGCGTACTCATCAATGGGGTCAACCAGGAAGAGCACCTCGAAGCCCTTCTCCTTGAGAGAGTCGAGGAAGGGCGACTTGGCGACGGCCTTGAGCGACTCGCCAGTAATGTAGTACATGTTCTTCTGGTGCTCGGGCATGCGGGTGACGTAGTCGGTGAGCGAGGTCTGCTCATCGCCAGACTTGGTGGAGTTGAAGCGCAGCAGCTTGGCGAGGATGGCGCGGTTCTGCGAATCCTCGTGGATGCCGAGCTTGAGGTTCTTGGAGAAGGCGCTGTAGAACTTGTCGAACTGCTCCTTGTCCTCGGCGATCTCTTGGAAGAGCTCCAGGGACTTCTTGACGATGTTCTTCTTGATCACCTTCATGATCTTGTTCTGCTGGAGGGTCTCACGAGACAGGTTGAGGGGCAGATCCTCGGAGTCGACGACACCCTTGACGAAGCTCAGCCACTCGGGGACGAGGTCGGTGGCGTCGTCGGTAATGAACACACGGCGGACGTAGAGCTTGATGTTGTTCTTGGTCTTCTTGGTCTCAAAGAGGTCGAAGGGAGCGCGCTTGGGAACGAAGAGGATGGCGCGGAACTCGAGCTGACCCTCAACCGAGAAGTGCTTGACGCCGAGGTGGTCCTCCCAGTCGTTGGAGAGCGACTTGTAGAAGGCAGCGTACTCCTCCTGGGTGATGTCCTGCGGGTTGCGGGTCCAGATGGGCTTCTGCTTGTTCAGCTCCTCCTCCTCAATGGTGGTCTCCTTGATCTTCTTGGTCTTGGGCTTCTTCTCCTTGTCCTCTTCCTCGTCATCGACCTCCTCGATCTTGGGCTTCTTGTCATCGCCCTCCTCAACTTCCTCTTCCTCCTCATCGGGGACCTCCTTCTCGGTCTCCTTCTGGACGTGGAGGTAGATGGGGTACGAGATGAACTCGGAGTGCTTCTTGATGACCTCCTTGACACGGCTCTCGTTGAGGTAGTCCATCTGCTCATCCTTCAGGTGAAGGATGATCTTGGTGCCGCGGCCAATCTGCTCACCCTCGGTGTCGGGGGTGATGTTGAAGGTGCCACCGGCGCTTGACTCCCAGATGTACTGCTCGTCATCGTTGTTCTTGGAGATGACGGTGACCCTGTCGGCGACGAGGTAGGCAGAGTAGAAACCGACACCGAACTGGCCAATCATGGAGATATCGGCACCGGCGGTGAGGGCCTCCATGAACTGCTTGGTACCAGAGCGAGCGATGGTACCAAGGTTGTTGACAAGGTCCTGCGATGATTATTAGCGAATGCCCCCGCACGAGGGTAAGAGTCAAAAAGCAGGGGTACTTACGGCCTTGGTCATGCCAATACCGGAATCCTGGATGGTCAAGGTCTTGTTCTCCTTGTCTGGGATCGATGTCGATGCGGAGGTCCTTGCCCGAGTCCAGCTTGCTGGGGTCGGACAAAGCCTCGTAGCGGATCTTGTCGAGCGCATCGGAGGCGTTCGAGACAATCTCTCGCAGGAAGATCTCCTTGTTGGAGTAGACGGTGTTGATGATGAGCGAGAGAAGCTGAGAAATCTCAGCCTGGAACTCGAAAGTCTCGGCCATCTTGAGGGTATTTGTGTGTGATCTGTTGGGTATCTGGGGGTTGAAAGTTAGTACCACGGTAGAAAGAGAAAAAAAAGTTCGGTCGGCCGCGGGGCAAGCTCCGTTCGTGTCTAGTGCGGGGTGGTTTTGTTCGTCGCCGCAGCGAAAAATGTAGCAGAAAATCAATCTTGAAAGATTGAGATCCAAGAAAATATGAATTCGAGACCATGACCTTGTGCAAGACGAGGGAGGAAAAGTGCAGTAATTGGGGAAAGCGTTGGGGGGGCAGTGGAAGGCCGTTGGCAAGGCTGAAGGCGAGAGCGATGGCGGGGAACCCAGATGTACTTACCAAAGAAGAAGACGTGGGAGATGATCAACGGTCTACACCTCGAAGACCTTTCTGTGGGTGTGTAGAGGAAAAACGAGAAGAAGAGGAGCGATGGAGAAGATGGAGGAGGAAGAGTTGGGGGAGGAGCCGTGGCAGCTAAAATGTATTGCGGGCTGTTCCTGGGCTGTGCTCAAGGAGTTTCTACGGGATTTCTATCGCCCAAATTCTGCGGCCTTCTTTTTGATTCGCCTCTCCCCGCCCTCCACAGCAACCAATGGATACCGCTGATTGGCTGTCCACGGGTGCATGCAAGGTCCGCTCAGGCAGCGGGCCCACTGAAGGCTGCAATGGAATCACAAGCTCGGGATTCTATCAAACGTTTCAGGGCAGATTCGAGACGTTGAAAGAAGTGCATGTCCGGAATTGGGAATGTGACACCAAGCTCCTACAAACATCCAGAAACAGACGGTATTTCCATTGTTTTGTTTGGCAAGCACTGCCAGTGGCAGGGCATAGAAATTCAGAATCATCCAGAAGAGTCTCGACCACAACCCCGCCTACGAGGCTGAAACGAGGCTGGTGGTTGCCCAACTGCCCCGCAGTTGCCCCTCTAACAGGCGGTCAACCACCTGGCAACCCAAACAGTGACCGCGGGCAGTCGTGAATTGCAAACAACTGCGAATACGGCAATACACGTAGATACCGAGGTAACCATGGGCAGTCGGCATGGATTCTTTGATTTCCAGAGCCCAGCACTCTCTGGCCAACAAAAGCCGAGCTCCAACCAAGTGCAGGTGCCGCCGAAACCCTCGACTAGAGCAACGAAAAGAAAACCATTCGAAAGTCAGAAGTCTCCTTCTTATTTGACTCGGTTTCTTTTATTTGGTTTATTTTGCTCGGTTTTCTTTCCCTCTTGTTTTTCTTGATTTTATTTATCCTTTCTCTTTCCTTTGTTCTCTTTTCTCGTTTCTCGACTCTCTCGTCGGGCTTTTTTTTGGCCAGAGCTAGCTTCTCTCCCAGCCCGCCCCCACTCCTTAACCCCCTGCGCCGTTGACAATGGTGTGCCCCGGTACCTCAAACACTTGTTGTGCGTGGTTCTTGCTGTCCGGACGATTCGACCTTTGCCTTGTGTTTGACCCTCTCGGCATAAGACGGGGGGGCAAAACGGTACATCAGCCCAATCAAGATCGAAGCGAGAGCCTGCGCAGGTAGTTGTTGCGTCAGTACCGCGCACGGAGGTGATGACGTGGAATTTGACTCTTACCGGCCCTATCCACCATATCCAATGGTCTAGAGGTGTTTGGTTAAATTACCCCAGTCAGCTTCTTCACAGCGATACAAGAAAATGAGGAAATACTCACGATGCCAGTTCCGTCCTGCAATGGCGAGCGCGAGTGCTCGCGTAGGGTTCATCGAAGCGCCAGTGTACCCCGGGGCGATACCTGTCGTTGAGCAGGATACGAGCCCTAAGCTGAGGCCTACAAGCAGCGGCCCGAGTTGGCGCCCGTATAAGACTTGCTGCCGTGGATCCAGCCCGGTCCCGATTGCCAAGTAGCTATGAAAGGCATCGTGGAGCATGAGTGTTCAGTCCGAGAGGTTTTCGAAAAGACGATAAAAGGGAGGCCTACAGAATCGACATCGAGGACATGACCTCGATTAGCAAGACCTGGCCGGGCGTGATCTTCGTTGGATCAAAAAAGTTACCACCTCCCATGCGGCTGCCGGCATGGACATCAACGGTCAGCTTCACCACAGCAGAGATTCACTGACAAAACCACTCACGAAATAGCCATGTCTCGGCCCCAGGAACCCAGCAGCACCCCTCCAGCAAGGACACTGCCGAGGATCTGGGCCGTTATCAACACCACGCCTTGCTTGTCAGTTATCGGCTTTACGTGGGTAGGTTTGGTTGCTATTACCTCTTGGTATGGGTGTCAAGCCACAGAGCATAGTAGCAAACGTGATCATGGGGTTTATGTGGCCGCCCGTGGCAGTAGCTGTTGCGTATACGAAAAGGGTGAGGAAAACGGCGTTGTAAATGCCCACATAGGCAGTGACTTGGGTAACACCGGTGTTAACCAGCGTCATGCCAAACTGCGAGGAAAGATAGATTGAACATGTGGTAGCAACACACTCAACAAACTAGGTGCATGTCAGTGACAGACAAGCATCAAAAGGAGTCACACTTACAGCAGTTCGCCGGATGACGGGATCCGCCCAACCATCGAGATAGTATTCTCGTCGATAATACCACGGCTGAGGGCGAACTACGACGATGTCCCGCCCAGTCCCAGCGAATGAACCCTCAAATGCGCCATCGACATCTCGTGAATCTGCCACCTTGGATTGACTTTTCTCTGCCGTGAATGGCGGAGTTAGGGAGGGAGCTGGCATCGAACTATTGGTATCCGGTGTCTCTTAAGTCGTAACATGTATTCGCTTGGTTCTTCCATGATAACATCTCTGTTTCTCATGCCGTCGACGGCTACTCATTTTTATATCCTAGTAAACTCGCATCGTGATGATTTATCGCGTTGTGCTCCTGAACATGGGTTGGGGTGAGTAAGCGGCAGCTCCATAATGCTTATGAATCTAGCAATTCCGCCGCGACTTGCAATTTAAGTGGTTCGAAGTAGTTGTAGTGCCCGATCTCGATAAGGTAATTCCCTGCGCTCCCCGGGAGCTTGCAAGCCTGATGTTGTTGAGTGGTTTGCAAGCAGGCACTCTCTGCCAAAAAAAAAAAAAAAAGAAGGCCGAACTCCAAGTGTTAGGTACCCTATATAGCTGCCACGGAAACCTTCGACTAGAGGAATGGAAAGAAACCCATTCGGAATCTCAAAGCTACCTTTTTATTTTTCTTTCTCTTTTTCTTCTTCCCCCCTTTCGAGTTCGGCTTTTTTTAACTAGCCGGAGGGTGGTGGTAAGGTAAGGAATCAGTGGAAACCCTAACCCTGTACATACGGGAATCATGAAATCCATCGTGACACCCCAAGCGCTTGGCACAACCTCAGGTTCGATGCACTGCCCCTCAATAAACAAGGCAGATGGAAGTCCCATGCAGTTCGGAGCGGTGAAACGCCTAGTGTTTGCGTGTAGATGGGCTGAGATGGCGTACCTGGATCCCCCATCCCGTGCGTTAGTTGGTTGAAATAAATAGAAGGTGCCGTCGATCCGCTCCTCCTTCCGATTGCGTCACAAAACCAACCTGCAAGCTACCCCGCAACCCCGCCTCAAGTACTCCCCCCATTGACCTTGAATAGCTCGCTTCCCTCTTCCCATTCTTTCTTCCTCAACAAACAACAAACTCTTCGCCTCTTTCCAAAAATCAATTAATTGGCACCCAGTCCAAATTCAATCACTTCATATCAACCAAAATGGGCGTTCCGCAACTTGACGGTCTTGAGGTGGTGGTCCTGGCCGAGGGCACGGGCACCCGTGAGACCAAGCGCGGTAAGTTTTCCCGATCGACCCCGCGCCTCCAGCGCCCCTGCAAGGAGCTCGGGGTGCCTGCGCAATCGCGCAAGCCTTACACAGTGGCTGACTCTCAACCTAGGCGACCAGATTGAAGTTCACTACACCGGCACTCTTCTCGACGGCACGAAGTTCGATTCTAGCCGTGACCCTAATCGTGGTGACCCGCTCGCTTTCAAGGTCGGCTCCGGTCAGGTCATCAAGGGCTGGGACGAGGGTCTTCTGGGCATGAAGGTCGGTGAGAAGCGCAAGCTGACCATTTCCCCTGAGCTCGCCTATGGCAACCAGGCTGTCGGCCCGATCATCAAGGCCAACTCGACCCTGGTTTTCGACACGGAGCTCGTCAACATCAAGTAAATGGTGGACAAAGTTTCGATATTATGGATGAGATGCCTCCGGGCAGGAGTCGACTTTGGGCATTAAAGCCTAGATAGAAGCAATGACACTGGCTCGTTGAGTTGCGACAATCCGAACCGAGATATTTCTGAAAGTCGCCTGATTTTTGCTCGTACATGTTTAGCTTCTTAGTGCAATTCCCTGACCAACGCCGGCGCCATTGAGTCCAGAGTAGAATACACCAAACTGTACATGTCCTGTATCCCCCATCTATGACTTTATAAGCTCCTTTTCGGGGGTGATACAGCCCCCAAGCTGCCTGTATCGTCTATCAGCGTACAACAACCCAAACCTCTCTTCCCTCTCCCTCTGCGCCCCCGGCCCCTCCACAATCTCCAGCACCTCCCCAAGCACAATGACATGATCCCTCACCCTCACCAACCCCTTGGTAGGCTCATCATCAAGCAACCTACACCTCAGCACATACAGCACCCCTTCCCCCTCAAGCACCGGCGCCTCCCCATCACTCCCACCAACAACCATATCCCCCTCCCCACCCTGTCCCTTCCCAACCAACCTCTCAAACGCGCCCCGCCTCTCCGCATTCCCCCCTGTAAACCAATCCGCCACGCGCGCCCCCGCCACGTCGTCCGCTAGCACGTGGATGTTGAACCGCCCGCTGGCCGCCACCGCGTCGAGCGTGCGGCTGGGCGTCGCGATGTTGAAGCTGACGACGGGGGTGGGGGAGAGCGCGAGGGATGTGAAGGAGGACATGGTCATGCCGCGGGGGGTGCCTTGTGGTGGTGGTGGTGGTGGTGGGGAGGGTTTTGGGTCGCTGTTGGGTGTGGGTGTGGATGTGGGTGGTGGTGGGTGGGTGGAGGTGCAGACGACGACGGGGTGCGTGAGCAGGCGCATAACGCTGCGGAATTGTTCGGGGAGGGGCGGCGAGGTGGGCGAGGAGGAGTGCGGGTGGATGGAGGGGGGTTGTGGGTCGGTGAGGTGGAAGGTTCGCGGGTGCCGGTCGCGGTGGGTTTGGGGGGTGATGTGGAAGCATCGTTGGGATCTTGGGGAGCGGGGAGGGTCTGGAAAGGAGGAGGGAAGCTGTTAGCGCTGTGCGGAGAGGTTGGTTGGGGATGGGAATATGGTGTTTAGCGTACGTTTGGGGTAGCAGTGTACCCTGTCGAAGGCTAATGGCGGCTGCGCGGCGGCGGTTCGGGGCCGCTGCAAGGGGTTCGCCCAGGCCGAGGAACCATAATTGCGCCGGGGAACGAGAGGGGCTTGGGGGGCGCGTTCGGCGGCCAAACCCACCAGGACGCGGCAGCTGTTCATTTCAACCCCATCAACGCTAACGGCTTGCGGTTGAAGCCACTTGGATTGTTTCGGGATTGTTATGTTGGCAACCCGGTGGTGATCGGCTTCGGGCGGCCGAAATTTTGACGGAGCTTGAACCGGTGCGAGGGCGAACCCGGCCGGAACCTTGCCGGCGATAAGCGACCCGATAACAACCCTGGCTGTGAACCGCAATAACACTTGCACAGCTGGCCGTACCGCCCACCGTATCAAAATTTCATTCCTTGCGAAGTCCCAATTGCAGTCCCAGCACCCGAACGCCAGCCGACGACAAGACGAACCTGGGCGACATCACAACCCCGACGACGTGGACAAGGAACGGAGGCTTACCAATTGAACCTCTAACTCCCCTTCCACCCGTTCTCGACCTCCAACATCCCCACCTGGCGCCCGAACCACCCATACCAACCCACCGACATCACCCCTCCCGACCACCTCCTCCAAAATGGGGAAGCTCCCCTCAACACTCCTCCGGCGGCCGTCCCTAGCCGGCTACCTCCCCTCAACCGCACCGACACTCCCACACACCCCCACCGCCGCCACCCGCACATCACAAACCACCACCACCATCACAACAGCCGCGGCGGCCGGGCAGGTGCGGCACGCGACGTTCGTGCCGCGGTCGCGGCGGCCGTACCAGTTCACGCAGCTGGTGCAGCTGAGCGACGGGTCGACGTTTACGGTGCGGACGACGTCGCCGCTGGCGCTGTACAAGTCGGCCAAGGACAGCCGCAACCACATCCTGTGGCAGCCGACCGAGAAGTCGCTGCGCAACGTCGAGGTCGACGAGGCCGGCAAGCTGGCCGCCTTCCGCGAGCGCTACGGCAGCTCTTGGGATCTGGACGGGCCTGCTGCACCGGCTGCGGCTGCTGGTGGCGCTGCTGCTGCTCCGGCTGCTGCCGCGCCGGCCGCTGCTGATGGTTCGAAGGAAGGTGGGGGAGAAGGGCGCCGCGGCGGTAGGGAAGAAGGGTGCGGAGGAGAAGGGCGACAAGAAGAAGCTGGATGTGAAGGATGCCAAGCAAGCAGCAGCGGCACAGGCACCGGCAGAGGCCGCGGCGCCAGCGGAGGATCCGTTCGATTCGCTTGTCGACCTCATTAGCACGTACGCAACCGAGGACAAGAACATCAAGGGCGGGTTGAGCGCCAAGGATCAGGCGAGGAAGGAGAAGAAGAAGAAATAAGGGCTGAAAAAGGTCGGGAGTTCTGTGGGAGTAGTTTACGTTGTAACATAGAAAACAAATCTGTGTATTTTGGGGAGTCGATGTCCCTTCTCATAGATGGGTGGATGGATTGATAAACCGGAGAAGGCTGCCGCGACATGCGGATACGGCTGTGTATAATACAATGACAACAACGCCATCCAGGCATCTAGGCTGTCTGACTGAATGCCACACGATTCCATCCAGCGCTTCGCGCCTCCTACATCCCTTGATCAATCGGCACAGCGGCTTCGAGCGACGGTGCTATCTACTCCGTGACAAAATTGAGGGTATTTCCCAAACTAATTACCCCTAATCCGAATCTTCGTGGATCCTCGCTCTAGCCCGATCCACAGCTGTGTCACCGGCCGGCTTGTTCGACTGGATAACAGGGGGCCGGTAAAAGACTGTCTCGTCATCCTCAGCATCAAGCTGCATGAGGAATGTCTCCCATTTTTCGATCAACTACAAGAACGTCAGCAAAAAATACCCCTAACGGCTCGGCCGAGAAATTGACCTACCTCCTTCTGCGCCTCGACGGCGCTCTCAAGGAAAGTCTCCACACCCGACTTGAAATCTTCCACCTTCTCCCGTTCAAAGCGGTCCAGCTCAGACCGCATCAACCGGCCCATGTCTTCAAACAAGAGTCGCGCCTTGTGCACCTTGTGCTCGGCGTCGGCGACCTCGGCGTTGACTTGGTTGAGCCGGTCCTGCTGGCTCTTGCCCTGGCGCAGCAGCTTGTCCTGTGCGGCTTTGCGCTTGGAGAGTTCCGACTCGGTTGCGTGCCAGCTGTGGAAGGCTTTTTGGCGCTGGGTGAACGCCTGCTTGACGCTGCCGATCAGGCGGATGTACTCCTCGAGGATGATGCCGAACGTGAGCACGTCTTGTTGTGCCTGGCGGTCGTAGACGTCGCGAATCGTGAGCTGCAGCTCGGAAAGTGCATCGAGGGGTCCGGAGAGGGTGGGCGAAAGCTCGACGGTAGATAGGGCGTGGAGGGAAGCCGAGAAATCGCCGGCGGCCTCGGCCATGGCCTTGCGCTGGGCAACCATACCGTCCATAGCTTTGAGAAGCGCCTTGAGCTGGTTCTCTAGCGCGTCAAGGTAAACTTTGCGGTCGTGGAACCACTGCCTGTTGTCAGCCACCGCTCTCAGCACCATCAGCCTAGCATACTCACATCATCCTGCTCGACGAACTTATTCCCACCACCCACACCGAACCCCAGCGACCCAAGCACGCTCTTGCTCTCCCCAAGACTGGGTTCCTTCCGCTCCTTGTGTTTGACATCCACATTGAACGCCTCGCTCTCCAAGAACAGCTTCAGGTCCCCGTCCAGCTGCAGCGTCGGATGCGCGGCGGTCTTGTTGAGCATCTTCTCGAGCGCCGCGCGCCGCGCCTCGACGAAATTGCTCTCGAACCGGCCGACGGCCTGCTTCTCGGGGGGCGGCGGCACCACCACGCCCGGGTTGTTCGCGTGCAGGGTGTTGTACAGCCACAAGAAATCCCGATACCGTCTCTTGACCTCGAACTCGCTCTGCTTATACGCCTTGGACGTTGTCTGCCCACGAAGTCAGCACATCAGCACATCGGCCCTTCTCTCCACCACCACCCCATACCACCCCAGCCCCCAGAAGAGGGAGACAGAAAAAAAAAAAAAACATACCGTCGTCCGCACCGAATAAACAATATGACTACTCGTCAAATCCCCCACCTTATGCGGATCGCCCACCGCAATATGGAAGCTCGGCCTCGCCGCCTGCTCGACACTAACACTCGGCCGCGTAGCGGAATGCACCGGACTCGGATGGGCCGCCTGCACCGGCGGCGGCTGTCTCCCGCCCAGCCTCCCCGCGCCCCCAATCCCACCGGCACCACCAATACCACCACCATTATCCTCGTCATCATCAATGCGATGCGGGTCCGGCGGCCCACCACGGTGTAGCAGCATCTTGTTCGCGCCGGCGCCGGCCGAGCCCGGGGTGGGCGGACCCATGGTGGTGCGCAGCGGGAGGTTGTTTTCCTTGAGCGGGGGGACGGGGGGCCCGCCTTCCTGGCCTGGTGCGGGTTGGAGGGCGGCGGGGTCCTCGGCGGTGGTGAGGAGCGGCGAGGTTGCTGCTGCTGCGGCTGTGGATGCTGCTGCTGTTGCTGCGCCGAGGGGGCCGAGGGGGTCGTCTTCGACGGCTTGCAGGCGGGTGGGCTGGGCGACGAAGCGGCGCGGGGTGGTGCGCGAGGGGCGGGCGGTGGAGGAGGAGGATGTTGCGGTGGTTGAGGAGGGGACGTTGGATGAGCCGGCGGGGGCGGTGCCGGTGCCGTTGTCGCCGGCGCTCGGTTGGGTGGAGGAACCGAGAGGGTCCGATGTGGCGGCCGAGTCGGCCCAGGGGTCTTCCATTGTGGGCGGCGAGTGGTTTAGGCGGGTGTGGATTGATTGTTTAGTTGTCGCGTTTGAGGGGCCCAAAGCTAGACACGCTGTGCAGGAATTCCCGACCAGATTATGTGGCCTGGCGTAGGTTGCGGGATACTGGGTTGGATGGTGTTTGTGGACGGAGGGAGGAGCTCTCTGCTGTCGCTGCGTTACGTATGAAGCGGACGTTAAGCTAAGCCTTTCTTGGCAGTCGATCGATGTGGGGTTATCGCGGGATGCAAGATGCCCCTCCGCCTCTGAAGAGCTCTTTGGCTGTCATCCACCTTCTTTGTCTGCCTAGGTATGTACTTATGTAAATAGACCCCGTCATCGAATATTTACAACAGTCGTAGCAAGAATGTCAAATTATGTAACCGTGGATATCTCAGCCCGATGCACCCTTGTATTTATTATACATATCCCAAACTCCAGACTCAAACCCGGCCGCCCAGCTAAAAAGGCTACAATCAACTGTCCGATCCTTGAATAGCAACTATTCCGCATCCACCAAGTCGGGAAATCACAACTGCCTAATACTGGTGGTCCTACCGCTCAGAATCATAGCAGCCGCCCGCCACGATCAAGTTCATGCGTGTGAATTGGACCTTCATAACCGGCGTCTTCTTAGTCGCGAAGGCGCTGATCTGGTCCGGTGTGATCTGGACCTCCTTCCCTTTCTTTTTCCCGCCACCACCACCGCCAGCTCCGACGCCGCCCCCGGATGCGCTCGCGCCAGGCGCAGGCGCTGTCTGGCCGCCTACCGTGATACTGCGGCTGTCCGAAGGGCCGCCGACGGCAATGCTGTCGCCGGCCACTGCGCCGTCCACTTGCGGGACCGGCTGGATAACACCGGCCGTGAGGGGGTTGGCCTTATTGGGATCTGCGGGTAGTTCGACATCCCAGACACGGACGGTACCATCCAGGCCGCCGGATACGAGGACGTTCGATTCGACACTGAAGCTGAGAGACGGAATTCCGCCTTTACCGTGTCCACGGCATCGCTTGATGCGCGTGCCTTTGTCGATGTCCCAGAGGATGATGTTTCCTCCTGCGTCGGCGCTCGCCAGTATCTTGCCGTTGTGGGCACACTCGAGAGCGCTGATGTAGTGGGCGTGACCGGTGAACACGCGAACGCAGTTCCCCGTGGTGATGGACCACATGCGGATCGACTTATCCATCTCGTCCGAAGCGGAGAATATGTAGGTGCCGTTGGGATGCCAAGCCAAGGCCGAGATGCTGGTGTCATGACCGACCATGAGACGTTGCGCTGAGGCATGGTCTTGGGAAAAGACACGGACGGTCTTGTCCCATCCTGCCGTAGCGAAGTAGTGTCCGTGGGGACTCCAGAGAACACGAAAGACTGGTCCGTAGTGCGACTTGTAAATGCATAGGCACGCCCACACATCCAAAGACCAGAGTCGGATTTGGCCGTCGGCCGAACAAGACAACAACAGCTTCGTGCTAGTGTCGGGTTTCTTGTCTTCACCTTCGCCATAGATGTTGCGGCTTAGGTTGGCGATGGAGTCCGAGAATGCCACCCCGTATACCGGGCCCGAGTGCCCGATGAGCTTCCGGTTGTTGACCTTGAGGTCCTTCTCGTTCTCGACAGAGGTCGGGAGCGGCTTGCCATCGAGAGACCACACGCGGATATAGGAATCCATCGTACCAGCAGCGACGAGCTGGTGATCGTTGGAGAAATCCATGCATGACACGCTAACAAACTGTCAGTCCCAACCAGCTTAGGAGATGAAAAAAAAAGAAAAGAAAAACATACCTTCCGAGCGTATTGTGGAAAGTGAACATGCAAGAAGATACTGGAACGCCAACACCGCCTGTGCGACCCTCAATCTGGAATCTATCGCGATTCTCGCGCACCTTTTGCATCTCCATCACTACGTCCCGAGCCCGTGACGGGGGAAGTGGTAGGTCCGCTCGTGAAGGCGCGTCGGCGCTTTCCTCGCGCTTGATGCGCTTGTCAAACTCTTCGACCAAGGATGGCCGGCCGTCGGCCGGTGGGTTCCGCTGGTCTTCGTCCTCGAGTTCGGCCCTAACATCGTCTCTCAAATCCAGCTCCATCGGCATCGGTCCAAGCTTGAGCTTAGCACTCGTATCAAGAACGTCACGGTTCGACACTCCCGTGAAAACGCCTGGAATGCCCTCTTGTGCGTCCACCTCGTCCAGATCGAGATTCTGGGCGCGACGATAGATGGCCTCAAAGCTGTAAGGCTCGATTGGGCCCCGCGCGCTCGTCTCAACGCTGCAATAGGTCTGGAGAATGTAGGTAATGGTGGCCCCGCCTTCGTCCGACTCCCGTTCGAGGAAGTGGAAGAGATTGCCAGAAAGCGACTGGTTCAGCGGGATTCGGTACTTGTTCTCCCGGTAAAGCCGGGTGGTCTGGTTCTCCTCGACGTGCTGGGGCAGCGTGACTGTTGCCAGCAACGCCAGGGCATCCTGGTGAACCGCATCAAACTGCGGTCGCAGCGTATCCAGCAAATGTTTCGCATCATCGGCATAGCCCTGGCCGACGAGCTCCAGGTAGGAGTAAACAAAAACGGGCCAGAGGAGCTTTCTGAGTTCAAACTAGAGAATTTCCAATCAATCGCCTGGAATAGAAAATAGAGCTGTGACGGTCGAGATGCTTACCTTGTAAATATCGAGATTGTTCTCAATCCAGTTCCTCAGCAATGCAAACGATTTTAGATACTTCTTCGGGCCTGGGTCATCGTTTCGCTGGGCCGGTCTCCCATCAGGGCCCAGATAGGATGTTTCTTGCCGAAATACAGCCTCGGTTTTGGTGAATCCTTTCTTTTTCAAGTAATCGGTGACCTGGTTGGACATTAGTGAGCTATGGTTCGTGGGACTGGGCCCCTGCTGAAGAGCAGCAGGCGGGTGAGGTCTCGGCTTGGGAGGCATGTCTGGGGCATCTGGTGGCGGTGGTTGGAATAGCGATGTATGATGAATGAGGGGAGGGTTGGAATTGGAGAATATATATGCCAGGCTAAGGCTTTGTGCCCGTGTGCGTGTATTGAGTAGAAAGAACAATAACAACACAACGGGGAAACCGGCCGGCAGGGTGAAGCGGCTCACCAATCGCCGATCGTTTTTATCGGACAAAACTTTTGTGAGTTTAGGCAATTTAGGCAGTCCATTGTGAGGCCTGAGCTGAGGGGACTTTTTGTATTGTATGGAGGTGGTGCTGTGGTTGAGGCTGCTCATGGTTTTGGTTTGGCTTTGCAGGACGTTTGAGGGGTTGTTTTCAAGGACGAGAATCGAGAGAGGGAGAAATCCAGGAAGGGAAAACAGACAACAGCAGATGAGGTTTCTTCTAGGTACTCACAATTTGGTTTAGATTCTGGGCGGATGGCGTGTTGTTCGTGTTCGTTGTCGCTGCCGCATTACTGGTGCCAGGACCTCCTGCCGACTGAGGCTGGACACCATAGGGACCTCCAGTTGATCCAGGCATGCTGCCCTGGGGTGTTTGGTTTGACATTTCCGTCGGCCGAAGTGCGTGTATTTCGGAAAGGTAGGTAGAGCGGCAGTCGCGGTCTTGATGAGCTCTCACCCCGATCAACGCGTGGCGTGTGCAGGAGCAACCAAGAGCCTGGTGCGTGTTGTCCCTCCGAGCTCTCCTCTCACTAAGTATAAGTTCCGAAATATAAACGAGATCGTAGTTTGCGTATATGTATATGGCGTCCTAAATTTGATGGAACATTGATGGCAATGTCGGTTTTTGTAGTTCGCTGGTACATACCTGACCCTAGAAATGCAGGCGGGATGCGGTTGTGAAGACCCAAGCCAAGAACGGACCCTGCCTGGCTCACACACAGGTAGTTGCTGCACGGTGGTCTGTGCGTCCCGCAGCCCAGTTTGTGGAGGGAGCTTGGCACATCCCGATTTGATCTCGAGGCATTGATTTTATCACCAACGCAACGCCTCAACACATCCACAAACTATACCGCAGAAAATAGGATTATCAACAAGGACAACCACCAAGAACACCCAACGAACAATTTCCCCTATCAATTTAAATAACCCTCATCATGAACAACCCAACACAGCCACCCGGCGTTAATGGCGAAGGACCAATCGACATCCACAAACCCTTCACCTCAGGCGAGCGCATCCAACAGCTCGGGGAAATCGACCAGGACATCGCCTCCCTACTCGTCCACCTCTCCTCCTCCATGCGCGCCCTCGCCACACCCCCCGGCACCACCATCCCCCAAAATACCATCCCAACCATCACCACAAACGGCCACATCCCAAGCGACAACAACAACAACCACCCCTCCAATCCCAACCCATTTTCAGACGGCACCACCGCCCCCCACCGACCCCATCACGGCCTTTCAACACCGCCCAATCCACCTTCTTTAACACAGTCGACCGTATCGACAAGCACCTCACCCGCCAAATCCTCGCGCTCGAAGAAGTAGGCATCATCACGCTGCGTAACAACGCGGCGGCCGGCGCCGACAGCCAACAAGGGGGGGAGGCGGGCCTCGGCCAACAACAACAGCAACAACAACAACAGCAGCAGCAGCTTGGTGGGGGCGAGGCGGGCGGTGCTGGTGGTGCCGGCGGTAAGGCGCGGGCTGCGGGGCCGAAGCGGCTGGAGCCGGATGGGATGGGCCGGTATGGCTCGTTGGATGTGGGGAAGTTGAATATGGCTAGTAGTACGGTGGAGAGGGATATGGAGAGGGATGTTGTGGCTAGCGGTGCGAGGGAGGAGCTTGGGAAGGTTGTGGGTGAGGGGGGGGAAGGTGGGTGGTGGGGACCGGATGTGAGGAGTAGGTTTTTGGCTTGTTTGTTTTGTTTGTTTGATCGCAGGTTGGACGGAGAGAGGGAGCTTGGTCTTTGGCGTTTTATGGGTTGGTGATTTGTTGGATGGGTTTGAGGTACTACGGCTGGCGTTGACATGGTCTGGGTTGGGTCCGGGAGGTGATGGATATACCCTGGAAAGTAGTCGGTAAACATCATTGTCAACAGCGTCTGTTTTTCTCTTTTATTCGACGCAAGCACTCCGAGACAAAGGCCGTCAAGCGGTGTATACAGGTGAGATTGGTATTCGGTCTATCTCAGTTACAATGGAAGGTGGATCCTCCTCAATCATGCCTAGGCTCCCATCACGAATCCCTTTTCCACCTCAAACACCACGCCGAACCCTTCTAGGTCAAGCCAGAAGAGGCCATGTGAGGCTGTCCATGGCATTGCCTAGTACGAGTCGCTGCAAAGCTTGTCGTAAGCGCCCGACGCAATGACACCTTGAGTCTTGACGAAGGCCGAGGTGGGAATGCTGTGGGTGGTCAAACGATTAGGAAATGCAAGACCATGAAAGAGACGAGATCTGGGTACTTACACAGCATCGAACAAAACACAGCTCAGGCGCTCGTTGTTGGTGTCGGTATTCTCTACTCAACGGTTAACCTAAGTTCACTGACAAATTGGGGATAGGTCTCGGGAATTGTACTCACCATACCAGACAAAGTAGGCAGCGCACTTGACATCGGCATTGCAGCTATACTGGCACTTGAAGGGACCATAAGGATCGCTCTGGTGAGTGAAGCTCATGATCTATCGCGCAATTAGCCGATATTCTCCAGTTTCTCATCAAGATAGTGAGAGTATAATACTCACGTGCGGGCCAGAAACGAAGTGCTCGCTGTACCAGTCCTGGTTGATCTTGTACGAACTCAAGTTGTCGCCCGGAGTCACCAGAGTGTAGTCATAGATCGGGTAGCTGGGGTACTGCTTGGAAGCCGGCACGCCATTGGTACAGACCGAGGCCATGGCATCACGAGTCGGGGTTGCTGAAATGGCAGCGGGAGTCGGATGATACATGGCCTGGGGAGGCGCGGCCAGCGTCACTGTAGCGAAGGTCGCCAACAGAAGGGAGATGAATTTCATCATGATAGCCATCCTATGAACAAGGAGGATGCGAAGCTCTTGAAGACTGGAAGTTCCAATTTCAAGGTAGTTTTGTAGAGGAAGACGGTTGATGGTGAGAATAGGGGTGAAGCAAAAAGGAAAAGAAAGGAAAGGAAAGTCGGAAGGGTTGAGGAGAGCGAGGGAAATAGCTTCGATAACAGCAGTGAGAATTTCCACTGTTAGAATGTGACGGAAGGAGCGATAACTAGGCAGATTAGCTACGCACTGCCCTTCCAATTCGAATCTTCTATTCATCAAACGCGTGAATGCTCTGGCTTACGCGTTCTCTCCTTTTTCTGCTGCTACGCCTTCTTAGAAAGCTAATAAACAGTAAAAGAACAAGAACGACCTCTCTCATTAACCAGCTTCTTTGGCCATCTAGAAACCCATTGGGGCACAACTACTCAACTAGCCCCTTTACCTCAAGTTGCGACGTACATGGGCGTCAATTTCGACCTTACCACAACCATTTATATGTACAACATGAGAGGTCATTCGGTACTAGGTACCACATCAAGAGAAACATGATGTCTGGGTTTCAGTTAGGCGGTGGTGAGCAACCACAATGCTCATGATCTATCCCCCAACTATCCCGGTCGGGTTTCCAAAAGGTGTGTGGGAGTTGGTGGCTCCTCAATATCAATCCCAAATTATCCGCCCATCTTTGACACAACCATCCATACCAGTCAGGCAAGATCAACAAGGCACACACCCAGTAACAGACATTTCGGTTAATGAGTGCAGTTGGACTCCTAAAGTTCCTTGTCCCACCCAGCACTGACTTGAACTTCCTGTGCTAGATCTTGTCACGCAAGACGGGTAACTGCACCATCGGCAGATCAAAGGGCGGTTTGTGTAACTGCAAAGTAGGAGGACAATGCAAGCGAGACATTATGATGCAAGCCCCTCCAAAATGCCTACTCTTGAGGTGAGCAAGGGCAGTTCCAGAGGAAACTAAAGTTGAGAGTGAAATAAAGTCGTTTACCTCAACAACAGCTTTCGTACGAAGCATCACTGATGCCACCTAACCAGGGACGCCTATGTGCGAGATTTAAGAAACATGTAAGTATCATATTTAAGGAGGGAGGAGGACATAGCGGTATATCACAGACCCTGATACTCAAAAATGGTGGTATCTCTCCCCTCATCGAACCATCCAAGGCACTCGACGCTTACCCAGCAATTAAACCCAAATGCTTCTAAGCTACCAGAAAAACCCCCCAACTACCCACTAGCAACACCATGCTTCCAAAGCCAGAACAGAAGAACCTAGTATTACTCTCCCCAAGATACACAACCCTCCACAGCACCCGTACCACCATGCCACTCACACCTCAAACCGCCTTCTCCCCTCCACCAACCCCTCCGACAATTTCGTAACCGCCACCCACGCCGGCACAAACCGAAGCGCCTCATCCAGCGCCGGTATCGTTCCCGGGACATTCGCATCGCTCCACATACAGACGACCGTGCCCTTCAACCCCTCCGCACGCTTCCTCAAATCCTCATCGCCCAGCACCTCCCAATCTCCGTCAGAAAACGAAGACGAAGATGAAGACGAAGAAGCCGCCTCTCCCTCGGCATCCTTCCACTGCACATCCGCCACCCACTTCTCATCCCACCGGCGATGCCACAACCGGACATTTTTCACGCCCGCGTCCGGGTACTGCCCGAAGCGCTCGTCCCATCCCGAGCTGCCATGCACGCTCAGGCCCGACACGGGCTTTTCAAACTCCAGGAAACAGGCCTTGGTGTTGTTCGCGACAATCTCAATCCTCGCGGCATGCTCCCCAGTGCGCGAGGCATTGACCGCCACCAGATGCCCATACCCCTCCTCTTCGTGCTTACCACTGCCACCAGAAGCGCCAGCAGTAAGCCGCGGCGGCGTAGCCACGCCATCAAAGCAGCAGCTGACCAGCCCCGCCTTCTTCGACCCCCCAGCACAGTCCACGTCCCTCCCCGAGGCCGAGGGCAGCGAGTCAACCACCGCCCTGACATACTCCTCCACACCATGATAACACACGCGATTCGCATCCGTCTCCAAATCCACCGCCTGCACAAAATACACCTTATACCTAGCCGCGGCCGAAAACGGAAACGCCACCAGATTATACACCAACGTGGCCGCAAACACTGCCGCCAAGAACACGGGCACATGGTGCGAGACGCGGTGCACGAACGGCGCCAGCGGCAGGAGCAACAGCACCACGCCCAGCGCGGCAATCAGGTAGGGCATCAGCAGGCTGCTGCCGTCTGCGCCCGTCTGGTGGACGGCATCGACGAGCATGAGGGCGGTCTGCGCGGCGAGGGTGATGGTGAAGGGCCCGAGGAGGAGGAACTGCAGGAACCAGGTCCAGGAGGGCAGGCGGCCCGACCAGGCCTGCTCGCGCTCGAAGGGGTCGTGGTGCAAGCCGGCGCCGTCGCTGTCGCTGTAGCGGCGGGCGCGCGTGACGAGGGCCGAGATGGAGCGCCGGTAGGTGGTGGCGAAGGTGGTGCGGGTTGGGTCGGCGTTGCCTCCGACGAGCGGGGTGCGTTCGGTTGGGGCGGCGTCGTCGTCCTCGTCCTCGTTTCGGATTGTCGGGGTGGATGCAGTGTGGTTTGAGTGTCTCGTTCCGGGGGGTGTTGACTCCTGGTTGGGGACTGGGGGTGGGATTTGAGAGGACGAGAGGGGGCTGTGAAGACGGCCCCGGTGGAAATCCCGCTCCTCCTGCTCGTCTCGCATTTTCTGGGCCCAGGCGTTCTTCTTTGGCAACGCGAAGAGCTCGCAAAGCGCAATGAAGAGTGAAAGAAACACGCTGGACTCGAGGAAGACAAACATGTACTCTGCACCGATCCTGAGGCGGTCCTCGGCAACGGTGACCGCGACGAGCATGGCCCACCCGAGGATGAAGAGCCAGATCTGGACATAAACTCGGTGAAGAGCGCTGGGCCTCGCGAAATTGGCACCGCGCATAATGGCCCAGAAGGAGAAGTAGAACAATGAGACCATCATGGCCAAACTGCGCGCTTGTCAGTTAATGCTCTCCGCATCGAGGGAAAAGGGTAAGCCTACACCGAATATCGACTGCTGTAGATGATGAAGGGATTAACCTTCCGCATCAGGAACGCCGCTCCAATGGTTAGAGAGCCGGCGACCACAAGCGCAAACGGAAACCGGAAGAAGCCCTTCCATCCGCCAACCGGCAAGGCTTCATCGTCGGGCTGGTCACCGGGCTTGACGCTCGAGCTAAACAGGTAATACTTATCCGCCCTATGTAGCAGGTAGCTGAGCAGCATCAAGATAAGCGGCGTGGCAATAAGCACAGTCAACGACCAAGCAAACATTCCCCTGAGGCCAAAGAGCACAAATCCCTTGCCGAAAAGATCAAACCACACTCCGTCACTCGGGCTGCCGTTGTGAACCTTTCCGGACGCGCCATCGGAGCGGGGCCCGATGAAGGTATCGCCAGTATCACTCGACAGCCGAGTCGCTGTGTGAATGGAGGCCGACAACATGTGCCATAAGCTGCCCTTGGATGCGTGGCGAGCGTCATCTTGGTCGGTATGGTACCTCGCGCGTGGCTTGAAGAAGGCCAAATCAAGGCCGCGCTGGCCGAAGACGTCGTAGAGAACCGAGTAGTCAGTACCGCTCCTAATAAAACCGAGGCCGAACGCATCGGAGCCGATGACGGTACCGAAGGGGTCGGGAGACCCGGCGTAGGCGGCGGTTACCTCACGGTCAGTGGTGCGGAAAAGGATGGCTCGGCCACCGGCACCAGCTCCCTCGAGGTTCAAAAAGGTGTGGATGTATGGGTTCAAGGGATGCTGCCCGAGGGCTCGAGCGCCGTAAAGGTAGTCTTCCTCGCCGTTGTTGAGCATGACAACAATGCCCCTCTCTGGCTGGTTCTCGGAGCGTGTGAAGTACTGGATCAATTGCAGGCAACTCACGACGCCCATACCATCGTCTGTAGCGCCGAATCCGGTGGAAACCCTAATACCGTTGTCAGTTATCGTAGGGCTCATTGTAGCAGGTCCTAGACTCACGAGTCGTAGTGAGCGTTGACCAGCGTCAAGCCTTTCTCGTTTTGTTTAGAATCGTGAACGGCTGCCGTGTCCCACCACCTGCCTTGGTCATCGGATTTACCCCTGATGTAAACAAGGATGTTGGTGCCCTCAAAGTACGCGGCAACTTGGGGCGTGTTGGGAGCTGGGGCGACACCCGACGACATGAGGAAGGTGCAGTTGGAGCTCAGGTCGTCGAACACGGTGACAGCAGCCTCCGAGTTGTCTGAACCAGACCTGTTGCATGGTCAGCTAAGCGTTGGACCGATAGACTCTACTACCCACCCATCCATTGCCCAAGCCACCTCATTGCCGTCCAGGATCGAGCGTATCCGTTTGAGGAGGTACCCACGAAGGTCGTCATTGTAGTGACTGTTGTATGGATGGTAACCCCGGGTGAGTGTGCTGAGGTCGAGCCACGCTTGGGTGAGATTGGTGCCGCGGATCGGGGATTCCTCGCTCGGTGCTGGTGGCGTTCCCTCATTAATGATGATGATAGGTATGAGGAGGGCAAGGTATGTGACGGTCGTCCAGAAGGTGACCGGGGCTGACCGGAACGAGAAAGGGTTTTTGACCATGTTGGCCGATTTGGGGGATGCCGCCCAGTTGCAAACCCCCCGTGAGTTGCTGATGCGAAGCCACCTAGGTGAGCACGGGAGGCACCGGGGATTTGCACCTGCTCATGAACAAAGCGAATGCTTTTGAGATGACATGAAATGAAATTGGCGGATATTAAGAACGAAACAAGTGCAAATTCGAGAAAAGATCGCAGCGGTATTGGGCAGACAACTCTTAAGAGAGATATTAGGCGAGGAGAAGGGCGAGTCGAACGGTGTTGGGTCTCAGAGGGTTCGGCTTCGTTGGGGTAGGTTCCTGCTTGTTTGTGTCGGCAATTGACGGGAGGTTGGTGAGTGAGCAAGCTCTGCGATCTTCGTGCACCTGTGTATCTCTGTGTGTGTTTCCCTCACTGATAGCAATGCTGTAAACCAAACATAATACAGCATGTGTCCCGTTCAATTATTCCGGGCTGAAATGGAAGCGAAGCCACCTAAAGTTGTGAACGGGGAAGGGCCGGTGAGCGAGCCGCTGTAGGAGAGCTGCGGGGAGGAGCTGAGGAATTGAGGCAGGCCACAGCAAATGCGTGGCCCAAGCTCCCAATGTGATGTGATGTCACAGGACCCTGGCTGATATTGGAACTCGGTGCTTTCAAGACCGAACCATCGAATAAAAGAATGCATCAGAACTTCATTTGAGTGGCCCGTTTACAACAAGCCATAGATCATCTCATGGCACTCAACGCGTATTGACTGCGTATTTACCGCCTCTTGAGCCGTGGGAAGACTCTCAAGTGCCTGTGCTACTCTACTCGCGTTACATTTCACAGATTACACACGATCGCAAACGAATTAAAATATTCTCTCTATAAACTTGTACCGTTAGTGCCCACTGGCGCTCGCGCCGCTGCCTAGCCAGCAGACCTCAAGTTATTATCAATCTAGTTGATGTGTTAGGCTATGGGAGAGGCGCGCCATCGCAAAATAAAACAACAAACATCCTATCGGTCAGTAGCATCCCACTGCCCAATGCAGAATGCATTGTAGCAAAGTTAGTTCGCTAAGCCCTAAGCACCGGGGGGAGGAGGCGGCAGGTCCATGGGCGGAGGAGGCGGCGGAGCATCTCCCGACGGCGGTGGGGGCGGGGGCGGGGCTGCATTGGCGTACTGGCTGATGAGGGCATTGAGTCCGCCTGGGAGACCAGGCGGCGCACCGCCGGGGGGAGGCGGGGGAGGCAAGCCAGGAGGAGCACCACCCATTCCCGGGGGCGCACCAGGAGCGCCGTAGCCGCCGTAGCCGGGGTATCCACCATACCCAACTGCGGCCGCCGGTTGGTTCCAGGGAGCGGTACCCGGGGCCGAAGGGGCGCCGCCACCGTACGAGGCCTGGCCTGCGGGATAGTAGCTATCGCCACCATCACGACCATCGGAACCACGATAACCACGATCCCTATCGCGGTCGCCGCGGTCCCGAGCCCAGGGCGCAGGTCCGCCCGAGGGGCCGGCAGGGGGTCCGGCAGGGGGTCCGCCGTCGTTATCGCGGTCGTTGTTCCGAGAACGCCAGGGAGCAGGACCGCCGGTCGGGCCACGTGCCCAGGGCCGAGCATCGGCGCCACCAGCGCCACCAGCGGGGGGAGGACCGTGAGATCCAGGCCCTGCTTCGATGCGCGCGGGAGCAGCGCCCGTCCCGCCGAGTTCTTGCATGAGTTGCTATGAAGGGAATTAGTACGTGACTTTGTCGAATGGCCCAGAAGGAGGATAAAACATACCTCGTACTCGCGGTCCACCGCATCGCCGCCGCCACCGCCGCCCAAACGAGGAGCACCGGGCCGGCCCATAGGGCCGTCGTTGCGCCAGCTCGCACCCCGCTGTCTGTCGGGACAATCACGAGCCATATGCCCAGCATTACCGCAGACACGGCAGATGATACTGGCCGTGTAGTTCTGCTTCTCGGGGCAGTCATACTTGCGGTGGCCAATCTGACCGCAGTTCTGGCAGGCCTGGTTCTCGTCATCGCGGAGCGTTCCGTTGAGGGCAGCAAGTTCGCGAAGCTGGTTACGCTTCAATTCGTTCTGGCCCTCTGGAATAGATGCAGCCTAGGGACATTGTCAATATGTGTGACGTGGATGAATGGCAGGGCAAAGGAACACGAACCGTCTCAATGACATTGTGGATCAGCTTCTTGGCCTTGTTGACCTTGTCCTCAGTGTCGGCCATGATGAGGCAGTGGAGGTCCTCCTCCTGGTTGCTAGAATGGGCAGCATCCGAACGTCCTTTACCCTCCTTCACGGAACCCTTTCCACGGATGGCAATCTTGGCGCCGGATTCTGATTCCATTTTCTTGAGCGTGTTGCCACGGGGTCCGATGAGTAAGCCAACTTGAGTAGGGAGAGCTAGGTGTTAGTGAACTGGGCCAAAGAGTGGAACGGTGAGTGAGTTAGAGCCCAGCAAGGTCAGCCCGCAAGGCACAGCATCACGGCGGGATGCTGCCACGAGTGAGTGCCCGGCAAAGTACTACGGGGGGTGGGGAAATTCAGAGTGGTTAGAAAGGTTAGAGGGTTAGCAATCATACTGAAATTGATCTCTGGATAATCGTTGACCGGCACATAGACCTTCTCCTGGGTCTTGGTGGGCCGGCGATAATCTTGGGGCGGGTGGTAGTTCGGGATGGTCTTCATAGCCTTCTCGATCAGTTTGTGACGCTCGTCCTCGAGGCGCTTCCGGTAACGGTATTCGCGGGTGTTGACACGGCGACCATGGTTGTCGTATTGAGGGGGCGGCGAGGGTGACCTAGCCGGGCGCGTCAGCAATCGCGATAGCGACGGGGGTGGGTGGATGAGCATACCTGTCTCCATCGGCGGGGACGACATCGTCAATCTTCAGCTTCTGAGTGATTTCCTCAATGCGCAAATGAAGAGTATAAGCCTCGAGTTGCTCGCTGGTCATGTCGGCCACGATGGCCGTCGGCAGGCCCATAAGACCGGCAGCCTTGTTCTCGGTTGCTTCGCCCCAGCGGTTGCGCTTCTTGCGACGTCTCGGTCCATCTTGTTCGGATCCTATGAACAGTTAGCGTCATGATAGAGGATGGAGTTATTGACTGGACACACTTTCGGGGCTGCGACCGCGTTTGACATCGCGGTCGCTGCTCGAAAATCCATTTGGCGATGCGGTGCCGTTAGAAATGCCATTCGAGGCGCCGTTCGCGACGCCAATGTCTTCGCCGTCGTCACCACCAAATCGGCGCTTTCCCAGCGGGATGTTATTAGATCCGGTAATGCCTTGGTTTCTCCACGCCATTTTGCTGGTTGGCTCTGGTGCATGAACAGGAAAATGAATTTGGTGGATATCGCAAAACGATAGCTTAAGGACTGCAAAGAAACCGAGGTGACGAGGCGAAGAACAAGCATTGCCACTAACCCTATTGAGGCTCAGGCTCGAGGGCGCGCTCACGTGATAAGTGGACTCCTGCATCATGTGTGCATGCTCAATGTGCCACTATGCCAAGGCTCCCACCGTTCACACTTCACACTTTGGCACTGTACCGTTCCTCAAAACAACAATCATGAGCCAAGATTGAACGAGGGACAAAGTAATCAGTGATTTCTTTTTTTTTCAAACAAAAATCATCAGGGCCGTTATTTACGTGGCGATCCCACATATTTTGTGTCGCTCTTTACTTCTTCTTTGCATCCTCCTTCATGCTCTGCTGTATCCAGGCCCTCGTCTGCTCAGCAGCCTTGTCCAGTTCCTCCTCGGTCTTGTGCCGGTTCTCAAGAGCCTTGTGTGGGCTCGGGACATGTCTGCCCTTTTCCGATCCAGGTCGGGACACAATCTTGTCGACCCAGGCGTTCAAAGAAGGGAAGTCATCCAACGAAATACCCGCCCAGGCTTTTCACAGTTAGCCTCCATCGCCTCTCGGGAATAAATAAAGGACACTCACAGCCAGCGGCGACCCAGCCCCAGCAGGCAAGGTCGGCAATCGTGCACTTGTCACCAACAAGGTAACCTGACTTGGACTTTTTCAGGTGATCATCCATGACACGGTACAGGCGCCGCGTCTCGTTCTGGTATCGGTCGATGCCGTACTGAATCTTTTCAGGAGCATATCCTAGCCGCTGTTAGCCAGGCTCGGGGCCTCAAATATATCGACTGATCTTGACTCACTGGCAAAGTGGTTTGCTTGACTGATTCCTAAAGTCAGTACTGATTACCACCTTCTCTACTTCACCAGGCACACTCACCCCTGCATTGGCCCAAGACCGCCCATCTGCCAGAACAGCTGTTTCCCACCCACCAACATTAGCCGTCTCTCCTACTCATGCCGCCTAGAGACGAGGGGATACATACCCAGCTGTTCACCTCGTAGTACTCGCGCGTGCCCCGCGGGTATGACACCTTGTGCTCAGTGTCGTAGCGGTCGACGAGGTACTGCATGATCGAACCGCTCTCAAACAGGCGAATGGGCGAGCCGTCGGTGAAGGTGTCGGTCAGCGCAGGGATGCGCCCGTTGGGGTTGATCTCCAGAAACCAGGGCTCCTTCACGAGAGAGTCAACGGGTTTGTGCTGTGATAGGATAACCGAGTCCCGTCCGGCTGGTGAGGGGCGGTGGGCCTACCTTTTGGGTGTTCTTGCTGATCTCAATGGCGGTCACCTTGTCAAGTTAGTATGGGAGACATTCCCTACGTAATGGCGTTGGTCGGTCAAGTACCTTGTACGGCAGGCCGAGCTCTTCCAGGAGCATCGACACCTTGATGCCGTTTGGCGTCTGGGCCGTGTAGAGGTGGATATCGGACTTGGTCTCGGCCATTTTGCTGGAATTATTGTCGTTACTTGATGTCAAGTGTGATGCTAACAGGGTCACTCGTTGCATTGAAGGCCAATGGTTTAAATACTTGCGAGCGCTCTCCTCGTATTATAAATGAGTTGGTGCGTACGGCAGGGACGGAGCACGAAACATACATCATCGATGCGGGGCTTAGAAATCAGAATCCCTTTTCTGTCGATTACTCCGCAATGTGGAGGGGAAACACACCAAGACCAAGACCAAGACCACCCACGAGATCCCGCGGCACTCTGGGGCGAATTTAGAAGTCCCACCGATGGTGTGCTGCATTGGATAGTACCTTACTAGTATCAATCCGGAAAGCTTGTTGACATCCCCGGGTTGTTTGTGGATGGATTAAGGACAGCTCCCGACACCTAGCATGGGGATGATACGCTGAGTGCAACTCCAACCCCTTGCTATTCTCTTGGAGATCAAACGTTTGGCTTGAATGTCCCTTGCTGCACTTGAGTCTCGAGGTCGGTAAGCAGTATATAAACAATCAAAAGGTAGACAGCCACTTTTGTACTTAAAAGAGGCAGTCACTGAGAGGTTTAATTACCTTGGGCCGGCGACACACCACCACATGCTGCCTTAGTGCCGTTGCTGAAAGCCAGGGGACTCGGCATGGATGCTAGTAGTAGTATTAAAATATGTCGAGAAAAAAATGTAACCAGGAGATTATGTGCTGCCAACCAACCACCATCAAAACAAACAACTCGCTGTCATCCATCACCCTTCATCCAGCCATTGCTACATATCCAACCCTCCCCTCTTCAAGAAACGCTACACATCCTCCCATCTCTCCTCACTTCCCACCTCTCACTCCCCACCGCCTTAGTCGCATAAAAGAACCCCTCCGGATCATACACCCTCTTAACCCTCTCCAACCGCGCATAATTCTCCCCAAAAAAGACCTCCTGAAACCTCGGCTGGCGGAAATCCGCCTCATTCATATACGCGCCCGACCCGGGGGTGACCTCCTCGAGCGCGGGCATTATCTCCTCGGGTCATGAGGCGCTGGTTAGCAAGCATGCGGTCCCACGCGGCCGGGTCGAACGACCACTCCGTGGTAAGGGTGGCGTGCACGAGCGGGCCGGCGCGCCAGGCGGGCAGCACGGCGTTTTGGGACGCGGCCCCGAACCGCGAGACGTCGGTGCCGACGCCGATCCAGGTGACGTTCTGGGAGGCGATGTAGCGCGTCACGGCGGACATGGCGGTGGCGTTGGTCTGGAAGGTGGAGAGTGGGACGAGGCGCCCGCCGTACTGCGCGATGCCGACTTGGATGTTGCCGGCGGGGAGCGGGCCGAAGTATTTATCGTAGTGCGAGTAGTAGGTGGCGCTCGAGCTGGAGGCGGAGGTGTACTTGATGCCCATCGAGGTGAGGGTGGTGAGGAATGGGACCATGATGGCCTCGACCTCGGCGGCGGTCTTGTTGTAGGCCGTCAAGGGGGCGATCGTGAAGAAGTCCGAGGTAAAGTAGTACACCACCATGGCCTCTGCTTCAACCATGGCGGGGAGGGCAGCGTGGAAGGCATCGATGGCGTCGTAGAAGGTTTCAGTCGGGTTCTCGGTCGCATAGAACGAGAGGGTGGCGCCGCCGACTTGCGCATCAGGAAAAGTCTTGACCGTCATGCTGACAACGACGCCATAGTTGCCGCCACCACCACCGGAGAGTGCCCAGTACAGATCAGTGTTTTCCGTCTGTGAGGCCGTGACGATCTCTCCGGCAGCTGTGACAACTTCAAACTCGAGCGTGTTGTCAGCGGACAAGCCAAAGGAAGTGCTCAAGGCGGAATGGCCACCGCCCTGGGTGTAGCCACCAGCAATGCCGACGGTTGGGCATTCACCACTAAGGACAACCTGCTTCTGCGCGAGAGCCGCCGACATAGCCTCGAAGCCTTGGACGCCGGCGCCGAGCTTTACGGCACTACCCCTGTATTTTTCGTCGTTCCATTCCTTGAACTCGATGCCCTTGAGCTTGTGAGTCCACACCGATAGTGCCCCGGCGCCCGTGGAACGGCCAAGGTAGTCATGGCCAGTGTTGCGGATGACAAAACGAATGTTGTTCTTTTTGGCAAAGTTTACCGTAGCAACTATGTCAGCGGCCGACCCTGCTTCGACGGCGTAGATCACGTAGTTGCCTAGGGTGCAGGGCTTCGACTGTGAAGTAAAAGGGTCACAGCTCTGGTTGGCAAAGAAGGGGGCCATGACTGAAGCCGAGTCGTCCATGCTATACCGAGGGCCCAGTTAGTGATCAGCACATACAATCCTCCAACCTTGCCGATCCTGGTCATCACACAACCCCGCGCTTCGAAAAGAAGCTCGCAAAGGAGCAGAAGAGGCATATCTTACTGAGTAGCCGGACTCTGCCAGCCATCACGCAGCGCCTGGCATCTCGCGGAGTCGTAATTGGGGTCGTGGCAAGCCTGGCCCAAAGGGACTGTGGCAATCAGTCGGCCACTGACTGTCTGGTTTAGGTTGGCCCAGTCGTTGGTTGATGGCCAGCACGCGTCTCCCGGAAAGCACTTGCAGTTGGAAATGTTGATTGATACCGAGGCATCCACGTCGACGGCGAGCGCGTTGGCTGCGAGCAGACTCACGGCGAAAAGGGGCACCCTCATGGTTCCTACAAAAGAATGACGAAGGGGGAGACTATCAAAACAAAAACTAACACGAGGGAGACGTTGGAGGAGAATCTCCTAAAGAAACATCATCGCCATATGAAGAGGAAACCCCCAGACAATTGACCCTCCGCCGGCCTCAGCTTCGTACATCAATGGCGCTATTCCTCTTCGAATGGCCATCGACAAAGAACCCTGACGAGTTCCTGGGGCAGCGGAAATGGGGGAGGAGGTTGTCGGGGTTCGGAATATCGGTACGAAAAAGAAGTATCTCTCCACTGAACTTCCCCACCACCTGCAGTAAGTACCGGGATTCCGTTGTTCAAAAACCGGGAAGGCCACGGCAATGAGTGAGCACCGGTTTCACCCATTCGCTCTTTCTCGGGTTTGGATCGGCCGGTAAGCCAGTGATACGTGGTATCGGAGGATACACTCCGCGCATGGGGGTTAACAGCCACGTCCACCGCTGTCTTAAACCCCATGGCGCCATGGTGCGGCCAAACGAGACCTAGCCACCTAGGTAGTACGGGATGAATGAAGATGTGGAAGTCGAGTTCAATGCCGGGTCAAATTTAAGGAGCCCCATTCCCGCTCAACCTCCGAGTCTCGGCGCTGTGGGGTAGTGGGGCCGAACCGACAGACGAAAGCGGCAGTTGCTCTTGGCATCAAGTCCCGGGAACCTTTTTGGATTTCGATATCGATCATGTAAAAAGGCGATTGGATGCCATCGCTGAACACGGACCCTTCGCGTATCGAACGCAGGGCGGCCGGCGTGTTTTGGCAGGGCATCGGTTCGAACTGGGAAAGAAGCTGCTTGCCCATTCCTCGATCGGCACACTTGTGTTCTCGACTAGGAAGGACGTGACGTCTTCCTTCACAATTACCGAAAACGGCAAGACCCACCCGGGACCTTGACGGCTTGCCTTACGGATCTTCGATCTTTCCCGTCTGGTTTCCTGGGTCCATTGTCTCATCCTTCTCCTGTTCCTGGCTGCATGGGTCCCGAGACGACACGTCCATGCAGCACGGAGTCTGTCGGGTACCAGCAAACAGCAACGACTCAAGGGTTGAGCAACAAACAAAAAACAACCAAAATAGCCATTTGGTTTATTTTTCCACATTGCAGAAATAACCTCTGAAAACCAAGCAGAGAACGGGACCCGAACCTTGGTTTCCTAGTATTCGGGTGTTGCCCAACCACGACTAAACAGACCCCTACAAACGACGTGCTCCGGTCACCGGTCAGCTATCAATGGCCCGTCAGGGCAATGGGGGACTGTGGTTGCTCGAGGGGGAAGGTAAAGGTATGTCGACATCTCTCCTCCGCTAGGCTAACCATGTGATAACTGGATCCGTGCTCGGCAATTGCAGATCTCTCGAAGGGTACACGGGGACCACCCCTTTCTCATCCTTGCGCCTTAGTGTACTTTATTGTCACTCCACTCCGTCTCGCCGGTCGGATGGAAGCTTCAACGCTGCGGGCTATCGTGGATTGTATGTATGCGCACATTCCCACCTCAATTTATGTCCCTGACTCGAATTCGGGGCTCAGAGGGCATCGTCGTCTGATCGCCGCACCCTTCCTGTGGCTGCCACAGGGATTTCCTAGCTTCTTCGTTCGCTGTTATCGGCATCTACAACTCGCACGGGTGTTCTGGATACGGCATACCGGTAGTGGTATAGCGCCACCGTGTCACGGTTGTTGGATATCAACCCTCCTTGTGGCCGATCTGCCCATTGTTGCATCGGGGATCCCGGCTCCATAGGACCGCCTCCTTTCCACGAGCACATGTGATATAGCTGTCGGTGTATTATCATTCACGTCCCAACTTCCCATGGTGACCGTGGCCCGCTCCGGTCCCTCTTCCATATTTCACCCCTTCGGCCGCAATCGAGATCGTATCGTAGAACCACATTTCCTATTCATGGATCAATGGTTCAAGCCCCCCCGTGAGCTGTAAAAGTCTCCAAAAAAAAAAAAAAAGGTCTCTCTGCCCTTGGATCAAATGACCCGTAGAATCCCGAGTCCGCGGCAGCTTTAAAGCCAGCAATTGTTTAGTCTCGGATTTTTCGGGTCCGTCAATTATACTCCCGAAAATCCCCATTCTCTCTACTGCCAGATAGATCGTCAATATGGGCTGGACATACAACACCAAAGATCCCGACGCCCCCACAATTGGGCCCATGATCACGGGTGTTGCCACCGCCCTTACCTTCCTCTCGTTCGTCACTGTCTGCCTTCGGACCTACGTGCGAGCGCGCTTAATCAAGGCATTTGGGATTGGTAAGACCCCCCTTCCTTCTTCCCGGCGGCATCTCGAGGCTTATAAGGCGAGCAGATGACTGGATTATTCTGGTAACATGGGTAGGTTCCATCCAACACAATGGGCAGTCTCCAAGTCCTGACAAAAATAGATATGTACGGCAGGGTTTGCCGTTGTCAGCATCATCCGTTAGTAGCAGATCCGTGGCTGGGGATATGCGCCATAAGACTGACTGTCTGTGATAGAGACAAAATGGGGCCTTGGCTTGCTGAATATCGAAGACTTGCCGCCTGAAGATGTCTATAACTTTGGTCTTGTGAGTGAGAGTGTGGTGATGGATTTGCAACTCGATGTACTGACCAAACTACAGCTCCAGTACATGGGTGCCCCTTTGTAAGTGTCTCAATCATTCCCATATCTTACAGATAGCTGTGGTGGTTAACACTCCCATACAGCTACATCACCAGCATCCTCGGCTTCAAACTCGCCCTCCTCTTCTCCTACATCCGCTTCGTTCCGATCGGCGCCTACCGCCTTACGCTGTTCACCGTGATCACAGCCTGCGTGCTGTTCCACCTCTCCTTCCTCCTCGTCCAACTCAACCTCTGTCAACCGGCCCGGAAACAGTGGGATCCGACAATCACTTACGGCTCATGCATCCCCGGCGTGCCCTTTTACACCTCCATGGCCTCGATAACAATCGTCTTTGACGTAATAGTGTTTGTCCCCCCTTCTTCCCCCCTTACCTCCCCCCAAACACAAACAACCCCTCCCACTCTCTCTCTCTCTAACAACAAAAACAAAACAAAACAGCATGCTCCTCCCCTTCCCGCTCCTCCTCCAATCGCACATCCAAACCCGCAAGAAGCTCATCCTCCTCGGCCTCTTCGGCCTCGGCATCTTCATCACCGTCATCCAGGTCGTGCGCATCCAGACCGTCGCCCGCCTCGCCGACTACACCGACTCGGCTCCGCTGATCCTGTGGTCCGCCGTCGAGAACAACCTCGGCCTCATCGTCGCCAACGTGCCCACCCTCGCGCCGCTGGTCAAGTATTATAGTGAGCGTACCTCGCGGGGGGGCAGCGGCGGCGCTACTGCTGGTGGGAGGAGTACGGCTGCGCGTCGTCGTCGGGGTCGGGGTCTGGGTGGTGGTGGTGGTGGTGGTGGTGGTGGTGGTGGTAGTAGTGGGGGTGGGACGGCGACGTTGGTGAGTGGGGGAAGAGAGGGAGGGAAGGTGGCCTCGTGGTATGGGGGGTGTCGGGATGTGTGGCGGTCGCGGGCGAAGGATGGGATGGAGACGTTGGCGAGTAACGCGACTGAGATGGGGAGTTTTGACGAGGAGCGGGCTAGTGGGGGTGGTGGTGGTGGTAATAGGGGGAAGAACGGGAGTAAGGATTCCGTGCTGTTAGGGATTTGTAGGGTTGGTGATGGGAATACGGGGGATGTGGATGTGGAGGCGAGCCACCATAACCGGTGCGCGACGCCGGGGGGGATTACGAAAAAGGTTGATATTGTTATTACGAGGAGTTGAAGGGGGTAAATAATGGTTAGGGGGGCACATGGAATTAGGGGTCAAAACAAAATAAACAAAACATACAACACCGGGGATTCCCCAGTCGTCACCGACCTGAGTACTGATCCGGCTCTCACAAGTTTATCGAGGGGAGAGCGGACGGGATCCCGAGTTCTCTTGTGGATATGGCCGTATGTGACAGGAGTATAGACAAGCATCGCCTATAAAGATAGCTTCTAGTGCCCCACAGGCGAGTAAAACAACAAAAATACATACAACCTCCAAGGATTCGCTGGCCGTCATTGACCCAATTGCTAGAGACAGGAAGTGTTTGCCAGAGATTACATTTCGTTTCGTCCTTGCAATCCATTCTCTTATATACGGAAGAGCATTCCGGTATCAGGCATCTTAGATTAGTATCGTCAAGAGACGGACAGCTTGAGAAAATTACACCAGTTTCGGTGTCACTTATGCCCGCTGGCGCACTCCATGTTATATGATGAGCTTGTTCTCGCCCACTGTAGGCAGGAAACTCATTAAGGCTGCGACCTGACAGCGAAAGCCAGTTACCACCAAATCGGTAGAGGAACGTATTATTAATGATGGATTCTGAAGACTAGAGGGGACAATGCTGCTACGGCGCGCTGGGTGGAGAGGCAGAGGGTTGGGATATGGGGCTTATGGGAATGTCGTCGACAAATGCTGTTAACCTAGCTGGGATGTGGTTATATAGACCATCTATTTCTAATATAAATCCCATCTCACCGAATACCGCTGTGGCAAAGCTGGTCACCCCGATTGTCCGCTTTTCCCAACATTTTATCAGAGCTCGTGGATGGCCGCCTGGGGTATGCGATCGTGTTCTTTTGCTGCTGTGGTCTGATCTTAAGCTACAAGGACTTGAGTAAACCTAACCGGCCTCGGTTCTCGGCCAGGCCCCGGGGAAGCCCGGAACCTTGCTGTCCAAAAATTCCGCGACCGTTGCTATCGTCCTTGGAAAACTCGACTTTCAACAGAGAGCTAGCGGAACGAATCTCTTACTTCCCCAAAGCGCTTTACTACAACCACCTCCAGCTTTAGGGTAGGCGAACATTAGCTTTTGGCTCTACCCAAAAAGAATTGGTCAACTTGTCGAAGATAAGCTCAGGTGCTCCACAGAAGTGTGTACAACAACAAAGATATACGCAACACCAAGGATTCTCTAGTCGTCACCGACCTGAGTATAGACCCGGTAGTTAGCTAATAGTGTATCGCGGGGAGAGCAAACGAGACCCCGAGTTTTCTTATGATTCATGGTGTCATTCTTATTATCCTGATCATCAAGGAAGATAAACCATCGCTGTTCTCAACGAGGGCTGCCATCCACGCTTGCTGGGTGACTATCCAATGAACCCTCGCTCGTCCGATGTGATTCAAACGTGTGGGGCTATCACACATGCGTGATTCCTCCCACATATAACCCGAACCCTAGCCCTATCAATCAATCGCAGTTATTGTAGAAGAAGAAGAAAAGAAGAAGAGTCCCCGAAACTGTATTTATCTATTACCGACCATCGTTGAGTGATCGTATCGAGGTAGGATTCCTGGCCGACTACTCGAAGATGCTGTCTCTAAAAGCAAAAAAAGGCACCCCCCTTGTGTAGAAACGGGATCGTGATTTTTTTTCAGGGGTTTTATTTGCTTGAGGATGGGCTGAACTAGGCAAATACCCTACTTCAATCCAAGCAGATGCCGATATTCAACAGTTTAGCAATGAACCAAACAATGGTTTCGAGAGCCGGTACTCCCATCATAGTTTCATCTCTATGAACCTTTCTAACCACAACTACAAAATCTGCTTCAACGTGCGTCGTATCGGATATCCTAACCACTTAGACAACGCGCAACCAAAAATAAGAAACCGAGCCACCGAACCTCAAGGCATAACCCAAAACGCCTGCCATGCCATGTCCTGTCCCCGATCAACTCAGTTGAGGATATTGTTGCTTTTCCCAAAATACAAAACACTAAGACGTGGTATATGTCGCCACCCATTCCCTCTCTCTTTTTACACTATGCCGAGCCTACCCCCTTGGGGCGGGTGAGAACGTGGAGTGAGCTACTCCTGCATCGGCGCCACCACCCGCCCCGCATCCACCAGAATCAGCTCCTCGAGCCTCTTGTTCACGTCGGGCCCGTGCTCTACTCGCTTCCACGTGGTGATGCGGGCCTCGTTCATGTTGAAGTCGAAGATGCGGATTTTCCGGTAGAAGCCGCCATAACCTGCGTAGCCGCCAAACCCGACGCCACCACCGTGGCACATCCAGAGGGCCGGTTTGGCGTCTTCCGTATAAGAGAGGCCGCAGTGTTCGTTTACGTGATCACTAGGGGGTTAAGTTAGTAAACGTGCGAAGTGGGGGGGATATACAGCTGTGTGGGGGAAACGATGTGGAGGGCAGGGGTGCGTACTGTCCGCAGCTAACCATGGAGATCCCCTCGCCGACGAGTGCATCATAGAACCCTGAGTTATAAGCCGGCGCCGTGCTCGGCTCCTTCCACTCACCCACCAGCGTTAGGTTTGGATACGTGTACTCCGGGATGGGGATGTGGATGAAGGCTACGTCCATGTGGTGGTGTGTGTACTCCTTGTGGCTCCTTTTGAGGCTCTGGGCGGTTTTGCGGAACCAGTCGATCTGGTTCTGCTTGATCCAGTCGTATCCCTTAAATTTGCGCTCGTTGGGTGAGTACGAGTGCGAGTCGAGCAGGTACACAGTGATAGCCGAGTGGCCCGAGCTGCCGCGTGCCAGAACCTCGACGTAGTAGTTGCCCACCCCATCGATGTCCGCGGGGCCCGCCTTGGATAGAGAGTAGGGGAGCTTTTCGATGAGTTCCATCTGCAGTGAGCGCGACATGGAGCCCTCGTCATCGTGGTTGCCGAAGATGCAAGCGTAAGGAATCTTGTGCTTGATGAGGATTTGGGCGTATTTGAAGATAGCCTAGCTATGATTAGTACGGTGTCTGATGCACACGATCGAGTATATCTTCGACTCACCGTTTGCGCATCTGGCGCAGTTTCGCCGTTGACTTGGTCCCCGCTGAGCACGACCATATTTGGCTTCTCCTCTTCCAAAATCTTTTCCACAAATTCCAGCGTCCTTGGATCGGCCTCGCACTTCCCCCCATTCCAGTCCTCCGGCACTGCATCCCTGCATTTCCCTACTCCCGTACTCAGATGCAAATCCGCCAGTTGCATGATCTTGAACCGGCCGTTGTCCATAATCTTCGGCACCGGTTGGTAAGGCTCATGTTCAGCGCCGCGCCGAATCGTGACGTGGGCCGGCAAGATCCCCGACCCCCCATCCAGAAGCATGGCCGTCCCTGTTGTGATCTCCCACCCAGGCCGTGCCTCGACCGCATCGTCCCCAAACAGCACGTCGACCCCCGTAACGGCGCTCTTGGAATCGCTCACGCCGCGCTTGTTGCTTCGCTTGATCCACAGGCCGCCGTCGCGTAACTCCCATTTTTCCTCCCCACTGGCCTGGTCGCCGTTCTCAGGCGCCCCCCTCGCGACTTTGTTTCCACTGCTCTTGGCTGCCATGACATCGGGATTTAGGCGGCCGACGCTGACGTCGATGACCACCTTGTCCTCGGGCGTCAGCTCCTCCTCGCGCTTGCGTTGAATGTGTAGGTAAGCGGATGAGAACATGCCGCGCCCCAGGTACAGGTCCTTATCGATGCGGTGCCAGACGGTGGCGTCGAGCTTGCATGACGAGAAGAGGTTGAGGGACGAGCATTTCTTCAGGGTGATGTCGGTGACGACGGTGCCGGTGTGGTGTGAGGGTAGGTATCCGTGTATTGAGTTAGGGAGGACACGATAGTTGCGGTCGAGGAAAAAGATGACGATGAAGGTGAAGACGGCGGCGGTGGTGGTTTGCACGATGGTGCGGACCTGTATGTCGGGAGAGAGGAGGGGTGCTGGTTAGTCTAATACTTCTATCGCTAGGGGAAATGGGGGAGGAAATCGTACAATGCGCCGCGTCATGGTGGACTCGGACCGGGGGGTAATGGGGCGCGAGAGTCGCCAGGCATTTATCTACCGCTCGCCCTCGTCTAACCGAAGTCGTGCAATTCAGGTGTATGTGTTTGTTGGTGTCGCGTCGTCCGATCTAGTGGGGTGACTAGTTCTACTCCAAAACCGAAAAAAAAACTAGTAGCCGTTCAAGAAAACAAAGGCGTGTTCAACCCGGCTCTGATGAATTATGGGAGGGAGTGGACGAAATCGAAGCTCAAAGCCCATGATCGACCATGTCTCGGACACGGCAGGTGGAATTGGTACCCTGCAGAAAGCAACCCTGCGCTTTCCTTGCTTGGGTGAGAAGGGGTGTCGTTCCGCCTGTTTAACACGGCATGCGTGCGTGCGATGGAAGAAGGATGCTCTGCGATGGTCCTGTGCAGGGAGATGCTCGGGGACAGGGGTTCGGAGCACTCGAAAGTCTTGCTGCTGCTCCTCGGAGATCGGAGAGGCCTGGCCCGCCAGGCGGCCGCCAATCCGGGGAAGCGACCCCGCCAAGCAAGACCCAAGCCGCTGGAACAAAGCACACCTCTGGGCGTTCATGGGGCAAATAGGTAACTATACCCGACATACTTTGTAATTTGTAAAGTGCCTATCTAGCATTTGATGTTTAACTCCGCCACCTGTCTAGCCAACTCATATGGGAGGCCAGCTCCAGACTATCTTCACATGATAGCATGCCAGTTGATGCACTCGGCCCCGTTTTGATTTTTGGCCTCGTTGAGTCCCGTTTACTTGCACTCGGACATCTCTCGGGAGCACCTGCCAGAGGATGGAAATATGTGCCCCACTGTATTCGTAGAAGGGGTAACATCATGAATGCTCCGTACCTTATTCATACTTGGTAACTGCTGTGTACATCTCTACCGAACAAGAGAAAAAAGATTAAGTGCCATTTTTTCTTTTCCTCTCTTTCTTATTTGCTTTGTTCTTTTTTTCAGAACCTTGTTTCTTCCATCCAAATCTTATGTATAATACGGTACTCCACAAAAGTCACGTCTCGAGCACATCCGCTTCCTGATCACCGCCCACTAAGTCAATCATATCGGGCTTAATTCAGCGGCGAATCGAGTTAGCAAAAGCCCAGGAACCGTACCGCCAGGGTTCTAATGTGACGGGAAAAATTACCCGGGCCCGTCCGTCCAACCCTGCGGGCGGTGCCTGAGCCAATCGATGCCGAGGTTTTGTAACATTTATGACTCTGTTTCGAAAGTTTTGTCCGTCAACACCAAGGCATCTCGGCACGCATTGAGGTCTTGCGAACGCCTTTCCGGGACAACATGGCGTACAGAGCAAAAGGGGTAAGCCAAGCGGTACTCCTTTCTTCTTGAGATTTTAGCTAACCATACCAAGCTCTGCCCCCTGAGCAGGCGGGCTATGCGCCCCTCCACTAGCTGGTATCCTGCCACTCAGGCCAGCATACGAACGATCCAGTCATTGAGGCCAGCCCCGACGTTCCGGTGCCTTCATACGCCTACGGTTGCTTTTCCTCAGTCCCAATCTCCCCGCGCGCAACACCGTGGCTATGCTACGACAACCTCCCCCGAGAAATGGACACCCCAAACCCTCACCGAGAAGGTCGTTCAACGCTATGCTGTTGGCCTACCCCCAGGCAAGCTCTTTCGGAGCGGCGACTACATTAGTATCGAACCAGCTACCATTCTCACCCACGATAACTCGTTCCCAGTCATGACGAAGTTCATGTCGATAGGAGCAACTAAAGTCCACCGCCCCAGTCAGCTCGTCATGGCATTGGATCATGATGTCTCCAACAAGAGCGAGGTCAGCCTGAAGAAATACGCGCATATCCAAGACTTCGCCAAGGCGCAAGGGCTGCATTCTACCCTGCCGGTCACGGAATTGGTCACCAGGTTATGGTCGAGGAGGGTCATGCTTGGCCGGGAACTATGGCCGTTGCCTCGGACAGCCACGGCACCCATTATGGCGGCGTCGGCTGCCTTGGAACCCCCGTTGTGCGCACCGACGCTTGCAGTATTTGCGCCACAGATCGGACATGGTGTAACGTCCCGCCGATTGCGCGTGTGAGGCTTACAGGAACGCTGCCACAGGGTGTGACGGGCAAAGATGTCATCGTCGCTCTGTGCGGCATTTTCAAGAGCGACGTTTTAAAACCACGTGGTTGAGTTCACAGGGCCCGAAGAGACCATGAAGACCCTACCGGTCGACACCCGCGTAACAATCGCCAACATGTCTTGCGAATGGGGCGCCCTTGCTGGCCTGTTCCCGATCGATCAAACTCTGGAGCGCTGGTTGCGGTACAAGGCGACCGAAGAGGCCATGTTTGAAGACAGAACCACGCGGGAGCGCATCACACATGAAACGGTCGACAAGCTCTTCGCTAACCCAGTTACCGCAGACCCGGACGCGGTATACGCCAAGCAGCTCTACCTGAACCTCTCGACCCTCTCGCCATACGTCTCCGGCCCTGACACGGTGAAGGTGGCAACGCCTCTCCACGAGTTGGCGCCGCAGAAGATCAAGGTCGATCGCGCGTATATTGTGTCCTGCACCAACAGCCGGGCTTCTGACATCCGGGCTGCCGCCAAGGTTTTCAGGGACGCCGCCGACGCCAACGGGGGCGTTGTTCCCAAGATCGCCGGCAGCGTCAAGCTCTAGGTCGCGGCGGCTTCAGCGGCAGAACAGGAGGCCGCCGAGGCCACAGGCGACTGGCAGATCTTAGTCGAGGCTGGGGCCCAGCCCCTGATGGCCGGCTGCGGGCCGTGTATCGGTCTCGGCACGGGGCTGCTAGAGCCTGGCGAGGTCGACATCAGCGCTAGCAACCGTAACTTCAAGGGGCGCATGGGCTCGCGCGACGCAAAGGCCTACCTCTCAAGTCCCGAGGCTGTGGCTGCCAGCGCCCTCAGCGGCATCATCACAGGCCCGGGCATCTACCAGGTCCCCAAGGACTGGACCGGCGTGGACGCAGGGTACGGGACCGGCCTCCCACCCACCACCGAAACCGAGCTCTCCGGCCTCGTCCAGCAGCTCGACTCCTTCATCGACCGAGTCGAATCCGCCGTGACATCCGCCGAGGACAATAACGCAGCAGCAACCGAAATCCTCCCCGGCTTCCCCTCCCGCATCAGCGGCGAATCATCTTCTGCGACGCCGACAACCTCGACACGGACGCCATCTACCCGGGCAAGCTCACCTACCAAGACAACGTCTCGCGCGCGGACATGGCCCGCGCGTGCTTCTCCAACTACGACCCATCCTTCGACAGCATCGCCAAGCCCCACGACATCATCGTGTCGGGCTTCAACTTCGGCTGCGGCTCGTCGCGCGAGCAGAGCGCCACCGCCATCCTCGCCCGCGACATCCCCCTCGTCGTCGCCGCCAGCTTCGGCAACGTCTTCTCGCGCAACAGCATCAACAACGCCCTGATGGGGCTCGAGATTCCGCGCCTGGTCGAGCGCCTGTGCGCGCGCTTCCCCTCGACGGGGCCTGCTGAAGGGCGTGTCCTCACGCGGCGGACGGGCTGGACCCTGACGTGGGATGTGCGGCGGAGTTTGGTTGAGGTGACGGAGGGTCCGGGCGGGGAGACGTGGACGGAGAAGGTGGGGGAGCTGCCGGCGAATGTGCAGGAGATTATTGCTGCTGAGGGGCTCGAGGCTTGGGTTAAGGCTGAGTTGGCTAAGGCGGAGTGATTTGGTTGCTCGTTGGATACAGATACCCTGGGGGAAAGAAATGAGGTGTGGAATATATATTTGAGCAAGGTCTTATCTGGACTTTCTCATCTCCGTATAAACAGGCCGGCGGAATGCTGGCCGAAATGTTGAATAGAGCATATAGAGTCAACATGTCAAGAAAGACAAACACTTAGTTATACCATCCGACCTTCACCGAAATCATCATGTTCCGAGAATTGCCCATTGATAGAACTTCAACATCTCATATTCATCATTCACTCATACTATGTACGTTTCCATCCTCCCATCCCATCTCATAAAGCCCAGCTGGAAAATGACCGGTGGGGGGGTATCTCACGGATGCTCGCTCGCTCGCTCGCCAACAAGAACAAGTAAACCAAAAAAAAAAGAGAACCAGAAAAGTATGGACCAAAGAAACCAACGCCACATCATCTTCGTCCCAAGCATCTCCTCGCAGACAAGGGATATCCAAAAACCCCAATTCACAAGCCGGGAAAAACAACCGCCTAAAATCCAAACCATTGCAGCCAGCCAGCGGGTTCCTGTCGTGGTATGTGGCGTTATTATTAAGTGTGTGTCCTCCCCAGGATGACCATCGAAAAGAACCGAAGAAGAAGTATGTATGCCGAAGAAAAATTAGAACCCGTCCCGCTTTCGTTCCTGTCGATTGAGGGTTGGTAGAAGAATAAGAAGAGATAGCCAAGACGGCCGCCTGAGGCCGCCCTCGCACCATTACCGGCTCGCGCCTTGGTGGTAAATGCGATGGTCGTGAAGAGTGGTGTATGTATGGGTGGATGATACCCTCGGGCTCGCGCCCTCTTGGTCTTTTGTATGCGCCATGTTGTTGTTGTATGTTGTTGTATGACATCCTCATGTGTCGTGTTGTTTGCACAACTCCTTCCGTCGATTCCACCAAACAATGTCGAGAGCAAAAGAAAAAAAGAAAATCACCACCAAGCGGAAGCGAGCCATCAAATACTTGCCACCCTCGCCCTCCCATCGGGCACCCTCGCATGGCAAACCATCAGCTTCAGGCTGGTCCCCCACTCCTGGCACTCAGCCAGCAGCGCCTTGTCGCGCCAGATACTGCCCTTCGACGACGGGCCGATCCCAGGCCCCGCCGCGCTTTCGTAGCACCGGCTATACCACCACCGCCCAACTCTCGCCACCGACTGCGCGATGCTCTCGTCCGCGACGGGACCCTCGTCGGCGATCATCTCCGGCAGGCTGCGCTCGTCTTTCTTGTGCTTGGCCCCGGGCGCAGGGCCGCCCGTTGAGCGCCTCTTCCCGCCGCTGCCTCCGGTTTCGTTGCCGCTGCTGCGTGGAGATCGGGCGACATTGCTAGCAATGGGGACGCCGACGCGGCAGGTCTTGACGTCGGTGAATCCTCGTCTGCCAATCAGACGGAGGATCAGGTCCGAGGCCGACGCGAGGCTAGTGTCAGGGGCTTGGGCGTGGATGCGTTCCTTGAGGCGTCGGACTGTGCGGCGGCAGCGGTTGCCCATGTTGTTCAGGTCGACATCGAGGATTGACAGTTCGATGTAGCCACCAGGTTTCAGCACCCGACGAGCCTCGGAGATGATGTTGCGGTAGTGCCCTTCGGGAGCGGCCGAGGGAAAACGGACGACGACCGCGGTGAAGCTCTGCGCGCCGAAGGGAAACTTTGCCGTGTTGGACGAGTACTGGACCTGATGATGATTGGGAGGGCTGAGCGGGAAGGAAGATTCATTCTGGTACTCGGTCGGGAGAGGAGCACGGGGCGAAAGGTTAAAAAACGTAGCGGCCGGGTATGTCTCGGCCGCGTAGAACGACCAATCGTCGTTACCTAGGCCGTCAACAACGAGGATCGAGGGGCGCTTAAGCGAGCCGACCTCGGCGACCAGCTCGTCCCGAACGGGGCTGAAGAGAACATGGCCAAACGTAAGCCATTTGCTGACAGTCATGGAGCCGACTCGTAGGTTGACCTGCGACAGGGGCGAGTTGTCTTCTGAGCACTGAGTACTGCTGCTGGCGTTCGACCGTCGCACTTGGAGGGCAGAAGAACAACTATCCCGTTGCGCGGATGGCACGTCTTCCTTCGGATTGCCCGGAGTCGCACGGTTAACCTCGTCATCCTGGCTGCATGGCGTATCGGGAACGACAATCGAGTTCACCGGCGTGGGTTCGTAGTCGAGCATCCGCTTGACCTCCAAAGCAACCTCCGAGCCACGGACGCTCAACGACGTGTGATCCATTCCTGCCCGCAAGGTCTGGACCAAGCTCGGTAGGGGCGGCGGGCTAAGCGTAGGTGATTCCAAAGCCGGCTCGATCCATTTCTTGTGCGTAGACCCATCGAGCCGCAACGGCTTCGGCCAGGACGGCCCTTGTAGGGTTGACAGCTTGATTGTCTCCTCCCCAAGCAGGTCGTTGTACTCGTCCCAAATCTCGTCTTCGGCAAGCGGGGCACAGGGTGACGGTACTACAGCGGTGGCATCGGCAAAGGTCATGAGTCCACCGGAGCTGCTGGACGATGTTGTCATAGTGCATTGTGAGTCCTTGCGGGGCGAGAACGAGAGAAATTCTTGCCCTGGCTGGCTGGAGGCTGGCGGGGGCAACCTTGGCACACCATAAATCAGAGCCGAGATGTTGGAGTTATTTTCAGCTAATGGGTCATCGTGAGAAGCCTCCGGAGTGGAAGGCTTGGGCGGGCTCGGCCCTTTCGCGACCGACTCCTGGTCTTGGGGTTCAAGGACGACGGGGGGCACCTGGACGCTCAGCCGGTGGAAAGGCCTCGAGAAGCTTTTCGGTGAGGTCTGCTCAGCCCTAGCGCTTATCACCTTGGGGATGCGGCCGACTTGAGGAAGCCTACTCGGCCGAGTCGGGGCATGGGTTGCAGGAGGCTGAGCTGGCGTCGGCTCGACTTTTGACCGAGGAGAGACGGGCAAGGCAGGCTGGCTTGTGAAAGCTCTCTTCGTATTCAAGGGCCGTTGGACCTCGGGTTGCTGGGGTGTTGGCACACTTGGTGGTGACTGATTTGCAACGGACGGTCTTCTGCTTGATGGGTCTTCGACCTGGGGAAATTCAGGGGTCGTAGTGGCGATACCCCTAGCTTCGCGGAGCACTTCTTCCAGGTCAATCGGGTCAGAATCATCTTGCTCTGGTGAGTCCATCATAGTGTAAAACGCCACCGGCTTGTTCTGGACTACTTGGACCGTCGCAGCCACCGTCTTGGCTGTATCCGTTGTTTTCTCCGCGGGCGCCTGGCTGTGCGAGCGACCGAAAAAGTTCCACTTGCGCGGGGAACGAGCTCGCCTTATCAACTTCTTCGGCCCGGAGGTGGACGCCGGGTTAGCCGGCTCCTTGGTTGCTACGGCCGGTTCTGCTGAAGGGTCGAAGACGGAGTCATCGGACATGATGCTGACGTCCAGGCTACCCATCGCGGGCGACACAGCCTGGGGTTGGGTGATGATTGGCTTAGGTAGTTTTGCGGGCTCCTGTTCGCCAGCCTTAAGCCGCTGCATGGATCTCCTCAGGGCCAGGGTCGGCTTCATCGTGACGGCCTCGGAATCACTGCTCTCAGACGGGCGCCGGCTGCTTAGCGAAGGTGTCTGCGAAGCGTTGCGCGGGAAAGGCGACGGCCACAAGGTTTTGCGGGGGGCTTCACGAGACGAAGAGAGCGAAACTTGGGAGCTGTTTCGGGATTCGATGCTGGGCCGTCTCAATGTTGAGCTCTGGTTGCTTTCAACGCGGGTTAGTTCCGAGCTAGCGTTCTTGTTCTCGATTATTTCGCCGCCAGCAATGACGACTGGAGCCATCCTTTCTAGTAGGAACGAGTCGCGGGATAGGCTGCTCAGGCTCTCCTGCGAGGACATAGTCCCCGGGATAACCCGTGCCGCGTTCGTGAGGCTGTTGCTTCTCCGGCGCACTGAGCCCAGCTTTCCGTAACCCTCGTGGCCCGTTCCAGCTGCTGGCCCTTTTCTCGCAGGCTTGTCCTTTTTATCTTGTTGGCTTGGGTCGGGAACTGTTTTCGTGCGTCGTCCAAAGATGGGAAACCGGGTTTTAAAGGTCGACGATACATTAGGGCTTGGCGTTCGTGTCGGCCTCGCCGGTTCTTGTTTGGACGTCCCTACAACATCACGAGAGGCAGCATGGTTGGGGGTCGGCGTAGGCTCCCTAGTTGGGGGCCGTCGAGATAGGTAGCTTGGCCGTTCCGGGGCAGCAGCCGTTGAGACGATCGGCCGGTTGGCCGGGCCTGGGGCCAAAAGGCCACTCTGCCGTCTTTCAGAGAGGGAGGTTGAGGACAGATTGCTGTGAATGACTGGGATGGTTTGCCCGCTCTGAGGTTGTAGATCGGCAGTCCCATCGCGGCTGGGCCGCCGAGGCGGTGCGAGTTTAGAGGAACCGGTGGGCGGCGTAGGTTGCACAAGCCGAGGACGGGAGAACGAGGTGGGTTTCACCGCGGGCGGCGATGCGGCCTCTGTTGGGGGAGCCTTACGGGAAACTTTCGACGCAACCACTCCATCTCGGCTTTCCTTGGGTTTGTGTGACGACTTCCTTGGTGGTGGGCTTGGCGCGCGATGCGATGATCCTTTGCTTTTCTTCTTGTCTTTTGCGTTGACGCCAGCACGGACAGTTGAATTGGAAGATGACGACGTCGACAACTCCCTAACAACCGCCAAGCCCTGAGGGTCGGTAGCTACAGGGGCAGCTTCATTCGATATGCTCCCAGCTCTTCTTCGGGTGACGGGAGGTCGCCTTGTTCCAGGCGGAGGTATCCGAATTGGGGCCACCAAGCCCGGGGACTGCGACGACATGGAGGTGGGCGTGGTGTCACGGCTATATGGCCCCGGCCCCGGCGACTCCGACCATCTCGTGGATGGACTGCCGCTAAAGGCACTAACCTGACTGCTCGTTCCGGAGAAAAGGGGCGTGGGGGGTGGAAGGTCGTGGGTGGCAAGGCGGTGTGGTAGGTTCGAACCCGGGCTCTCGGATCGAGGTGGTAGCTGCACATCTCGATACCTATCTAGTTCGGGATATATTGTCACTGTTTGCGCCTTGGTCATCGGGATCTCGATCTGCTGGGCGAGCCGAATTTCCATGGGGCTCTGGGTCAGCTCGCGGTCGAGGTGGAAGGGGTCCAGAGGTGTTTGACAACGGGGGTATGAGTCGGAGGAGGTGGTTCCAGTTGAGTCATTCCGCGATTCGATATGGGTGTTAGTCGTGTCCTGTGATAATCCGGAGCGTTTGCGGCGGAGAATGTTTCGAGGTTTCAGGCTTGGGGCTGGAAGTCTGCTCGGAGGCGGGGCAGTTGAAGACGGCCCATGTGAATCCCCCACCACACTGCTGACACTCCCGACAGAGCTCCGAACCCGGGATGATTGCACTGCTGAGCGTGCTTGTTCTGGTTGGCCATCAGAAGGCCGGCGATGGTGAGTCTGCGGCAGTCGGCTGGACGAGTTCGGTTGCGGGATCGTCCTCGAAGGTTGGTGACTCGGTTCGGCCACCCTCTTGGTCTTCCACCCGGGTCTCAATTTGGTTTCTTCTTGCGGAGGTTCCGCTCCGGCCCGTGTATCCCTGGGCCTGCTGATGCCCGACCAGCCAAACGACTGTCCTCCTGGCCTCCTGGAAGCCATTGCTATTTTGTATTATCTTGAAGAACCCTGGACGTCTCGACCATAATCACCCAGCTTCAATGACCCATGACCATCGGAGGCAATGTATGAATTAACACAGGCGGTTTCGGTTACTGGAGCAGAAGTCAGTGGAAGAGGCCAGGTCAGTGGCGAATAAGGAGGGCAACCTCGAGCCGCACCGCGGGAGACTATGGCCTATTCTATGGCCGGGTGGTTGTAAGGCGGAAACCCGTTACGGCGTGCCTCGGTGGTTGCGTATGGGCCGCAAACGTGACCCGGGCCGAGAGGCGAGGTTGAAGGTCAGAGTTATTAGTTTGGCCTGTCCTGCGGCCGAATGGTCCAGCCGTGGGAGTGGATGATTATTGTTTCCCTTCAGATCCCAGAGGAAAACAAGAAGACCTCGGTGAACCGGGGAGAAGGAAGTATCCGAGGGAGGGGGGGTAGGGAAGATCAAGAATCCAAAAGAGGAGGGAAAAAAACACAAAAAGTGACGAGTCTCCAGGACCCCAGTTCAGTTATCAATCGAAACCCTAAAAGGCCAAGAGACCCGGGAGGTGTGGAGGGGTTGCGAACGGGAGGGTGTGTGGTGCAAAAGATCACACCCGCGGGAAACAAGGTGGGGGGCGGCGGCAGGAAGCGCTGGCGCCGTCGTGGGTCTCTGCTCGGATCTGGCCTCCCCTGCGATGTACCGCCCAGCAGTGTGATATGGTTTGAAAAGTAAGCAGAATGTGGAGGTCGTGGAACGGTGGTCGGCGAAGTGAGGCGCAGGGGGAATTTGGCTCCTGATATTGATATTAAGAAAGCGGAGAGAACGTGGGAGAGGAATAGAGAGAGAGGACACCCGTTCATGTGAAAGACTTGGGAGAAGTAACAATATATTAATGAGGCGGCGAGAAGATACCTCGACGTTTTTTCCTTTATCCCAACAACCGAGGAGGGACACGACAAGGGGGACGCGAACACCCCCCTGCCAACGAAGAAGCCCAATTGAAAAATTGCATGTACACTTGTAACTCGATCCCAACATGATTCGGTTGGCCTAAGTGGGTGGCGTAGCCATCTCGCCCGAGGCCGCGCTGGCCAGAAAGAGAAGACGTTGGCAAAGTCATGTGGGCTCTGGTGCAAAAGAACAGGGGAGGGAGACGCAGGTCGATTGGGCGGGAAGATGCAGGTGGGGGATTCGGACAGGTACGCCAACCACTGACTCATCCACGGGAAACGCGATGCGGGAAGGCGAGACAGCGGTGGAAAGCCAGTCGCAGGCGAGGCGAGCCATGCAATGCAGTGCAAGCATGGAATGCAGGAAGCTGCGAGGATGGCTTGGATGGATTCGAGGCAGCCAGCGGCAGGAGAGAATGCAGCAACAAGCCAGAGCGGACCAGAGCGGACCAGAGCGGTGCGAATGGAAGTGGAGCAATCGGTACAAGCGCGGTGGGGCCCGGCAACAGGGCGGAAGACAGGTCCCCACTTCCTCCTGTCGGTCGGCGTTCATCAAGCCCTCAGGCCCTGTCGCTTCCCTGCCAGGGCGGCTGCTCCACAAGACATTACTGGCGCTGCGCCGCCATGCGCGCAAGACAGCCCTGGATGCTGCAGGAGGGGCATGCCCTATGAGGGCCCAAAAAGCACTTTTTGAGGTGTCATTGGGCAGCAGACCCTCGACGCCCAGCGGGACACTTTCTGAATTTGGTGCCTTCAGGATGAAGACATCATCCACTATTTCGCTCTGATTTCCGGTATCCGTCGGTGGCCCGTGGATCTCCAATATGGCTCAAGGTGAGAGAGACCAACAAGGCGAGAGAGACCAACAAACGGCCGAAGCGATGCTCTTAATGGCTCCCGTTATATGATGAACCAGGGGCCGGCTTGGAAAAAGCGGTTGGAAACGGAATGTCTTCTCGCCACTCGTGTCGGGTAGGGGCGGCGCCAACGGGCAAGTCGAACGGCGGCAGTGGGGTGTGTCTCGGGAACTCTAATTGCGGGCCTGGAGCCCGGAGGCCGTTTGCTCTAGTATAGCTAGTGAGTTTTCACCTCCACATCGACCTCTTCAGGTCGGGCCTTTAAGCGTACGACAGATCATCTTCATGAGGGTTGATATGATCCAATGACAGGGTTCGGGACTTTTGCTTGATTCCTCCATTTGTCTCAGGCGGGCATGGTGGGCAGGTCTCGCTGCAGCGTATCGACTCGTCACGATTGACCCATGGCGGCGATCCCCCGGAAGCTAAGGTTGCTTTGGGAAAGTCCCTCGATCAAGTGTGGGGATCCACGAGACCGAGACGTCGAAACTCCAAAAAAGACACGCCATCAACGACGTACTCGACCGGCCAGTTCATCGTTCCTGTATGAGAGAGCTCGAGTCTGGAACCGTGTCTCTCCTAATTCTCAATTAAACTCTCTCCGCCATTTTGGTCGAGCAAAGACGACGACAAGGGGAGTTGGAGACTTCCGGGGGTTCCAGCTCCGTCTTCGGCGGATTCTGAACGGGATTCTTCTTTGGGGAAACACAACATGATAACCCCCCCTTCTTCCCTCTCAAAGTCGTAAACCCACCCAACCGACCAACAAGGTGCTCAGGTTGAACAGCCGCCTCTGCTGCTGTTTGATTTGTCGGCCGAGGCATGGTTGCCCCGCGGCGGCTGGCCAGGTGTTTGTAACTATTTTTTAATTGGCCAAAATATCAGCATTTCTGGCCAACCAACGGCGTTTCTCATGGCAAGCGATCAGAGAAACCCCTGATTTATCTCAACCCAGACTCCTTTTCAAGCTGGATTCGGCAGTCTGCATAAGATCGAAAATCGTGTTCTTCCACTTGAGCCTGCTAGAAATCGACTCTTCCGGAATATTGGACACCATCTCGTGGTCGTTTTGATCTTGCTGCATGCATGCATGTCTCACTCTGACATGCGAACCCATCTGCAGGATTGCGCGCTGTGCGCGAACGGAGGGTGTACTGCCCTGCTCTGGATCTGGCTGATGAGAGTGATCGACAACCGTGGAGCTAGATGGAGCGAGATGGAGCAAGATGGATGAGCCGCACTGCGAGCGGGGTTGCTGGCGCCAATGTGGTTGATCGGCGACAAGTTCGGTCAACCTGCAGGTCCGCGTCCCTGCAGAGAGAAAACTTGGGATATCTGACAAAAGCTGTGCAACGCAACGCGGTCTGAAAGGATCACCAAAACCTCGGCGTGCTCGGGAGCTGAAAGGGGATGAGTTGGCGTTGCGTCGCCGGGACCACGAGGGCACGAGGGCGTCGTTGTGAGCCTACTGAGCACGGGGCAAGGCGGATTCAATCAGCACGTTGCAAAAGAGGTTGGATCGAGCGACGTGCTGCCGGGTCGGCCGACGGTGAGCGACTCCGATGGACTGGATTCCTGCAGGACCGACCGGCTTGTTGGGTCGTTCAATTGTGGCGAGTGCGTTACCGAGGAAGCGAAGGCGGTTGGAATTGGAACGTCCAACACCAACAGGAGTTCGCGAATTTCTGCAGGCTCCGCCACAGCCCAGGTCTCCGGGTCGGTCGCAAACCCTGGCAGCGCTGAGGCTGGTGACGTGGCACAAATAAACCCAGCATATCGTCAGTGGCTGCCTCTCAAAAATTTGCCATCTTCAGGAGCCAGATAGGCGGTCAACCCGGGTTGATGATGCAGCGATGAAATCAACATCAAGTTTGGAGCTCGGATATTGAAACTTGCCCTGGCACAGAGCAAGAGGAAGTTGATGGCGGCTCGAAAAGTGGCGTCTCTTGGCTTGGCCGTGAGATCGCCTCAGCACCCTTGTCTCAAACCATGTCCCTGTCAGAGCCCCGCGTTCCCGCCAAGCTCAAAATGACAGGGAACTATCCCGGGCAAGCAGGGGTTTTACAGCTCTCATTGGATAAGGTTGCGAGCAGCGGCGGGCAGGATCTGATTTTCTTGGAGTCCTCCTCAACAACAAAACGTGATTGCGAGAGGGTGTGCAGCAATCACGAATCTTTGACCTCTTTTAAGGCACGGATCACGCCGGTATCGCCGGTTATCGTTTTTAGTGTTGAGAAGTCGTCAACAGTCAACATCGGTGGGATAACCTGCTCTCATCGATGCAACCCACCGCCACGCCACTACGAAGTATTAACAGCCAACAAACAGTCAATGATGAGACGACACTAGAGGAGAGTCGTCCATCACATCGACAATCCCATTCATCAATCTCCAATGTGGCGTTTTTACCGGCCATTACCGACCATTTCAACGACACTCTGACACTCACGATCTGCGCGAGCTCAGCCAAACACACCCATTCCTCCTCCTCTCCTTTTTGATGACCTTAGGTTGAGCTGTCCTGCTGATGGGATTTCTCACGTGTGCCGTTCTTATCCGCGCTTAGCAAAACCCCTGCCTTCGTCACGCCTCGCTTTTTTGCAACTCGTCCCAATGCAGGACTCGTCCCCCTAAACTTGAGAAGATGTCTCACCCTGTAAGGCTCGGCTATTCCTGCTGAGAAGGGTCTTATGCCTCTCAGGGAAAGACGCCATCATCGTTAGTCAGGGGATGGCAGTATTTGAATCCGCCGCTTCGACCCCTATTCCTTGTTTCGGTCTTCCTTCCCCGCGAATGAGCAACGGCTACCCATGTCTTCGGCTTGTGATTAGCATGGCGTAAGACGACGCCCCGTCCCGTCGAGGACCAGTGATTCTTCATGGTCCGTCCCGCCCAGTGTCCGGCCAGCTTAGACACGGCAAACCAGCTCACGACCGGACATGCCACCTCGTGACCTCCGGGGTTTCCTTGTTCCCGTCTTCCGTCAGACGAACTCCTTACCCGACCGGATGGAGGAAGTCAAGTGACTTCAGGTGCATGCAGGACCGCGGCGTGCCGTGACCTATGGTTGCTCTCAACGACACACCCATATCCATTCAGCTAGGAGAATATAATAAATAAGACCTTGGAGGAAGAGAGTTTTGACTGGCCCGTCATATCTGCCGTCGCGGTCCCCCTGCTAGTCAGAGTCTTTCAATAACAAGGGTACAGAAACCGAAGCGTGGCATTAAAAACAACATTCTTCCTTTTCCATGTCCCAGTCAGCACAGCATGGCCACCGCACTTCGTCTTTAGCGCCACTGGCTCAGCTGCATGCTTAGCCATTCACTGTTGAAGAAGCGCACCTAGCGGAGATGCAGCTCCGATCCTTCTGCGAGTCATGGCAGCCTAAGACGGATGCGCTTCGTTCTGCTGCAAGTGATAGCTCATCCCATGCATTCGAGTCAGGGACGCTCACTTCGCGACTGGTGTGATGAATCTCGATTACCCCTCCCACTTCACTTTTAGACTGCCTATGCATAACGCTAGTGTTGCTTGGAGCAGCAGAGGAGATAATCACCTTCTCCTTTCCGAAACCAGAGGGCCTCACCTTGTTCAGATACAGCCCTCGAGAAAATGTTGAACAAAAAACCAAAAATTCATCAAATTGTCCTCGCTATTTTTAGGATCGCCTTTTTAAACGTTCACTTTATTTATGGCCTGACTGGGGCACCATAAGGAGCAACATGCACAATGGGAAGAAATATGAACCCGAATAACGGCGCTAATGAGACTACGATGATAAACTCCGAGAATGTTTCTTCTTGGTCAAGTCCTACGTAGGCTGTTAGCACCTAGGCCTTCACTACCGTCATCCACAACAGGAGTGTCCATGAGCTCCTCCGTGGTAGCCATGTTCTGTGCACATATACCCAACCAAGAACTCGGCGGCCACCACATATATAAGGTGTTTCAAAGATCCTTGTGTAAGGTATCTACATTCATGGAGATAACTAAGCTGTAAAAAGTCCAGATTAGAGTTACGTTATGCTTCCAACTTTGAATCGGCGCCACTGGCGCCGAAAGACTCGAACATTACATTGAGTCTTAGGCAACAGATAGAAGCTAGGCTTACACCCCACCTGCGATACTTGTTTAATACTGTGATCCGTAGTACAATCATAGTTTAGATACTCGCTCCAAGCTACATCTCAGATAGCTAAACGGCCACTCAGCACAGTGTTAAGTTTGGATTCCTAGCGTTGGTCATAGAACACGAGAACCCAAATCCCCCACCACTTGCTTCTAGTCGTACCTATTGTCTCATCCGCAAAGAAACTAAAAAAAAAAAAAAGAAAGAAAGAAAAGTAGCAAAAGCCCACCGACCAGCCCCTCTTCACAACCAGTCGTAACTGATGGAGGGGGGGTAGCCGGTTACGAAACCCCGTTGGGTTTGCTCCGAAAACCCCGGGCAGCCAGGATTCGAACCCAGAGCCTTCCCGTAGGAGAGGGAGAGTTGAACTGCTGCCCGGGGTTTCGAGGACCACCGCCAGTTATCATTGGGCCAACCGTCGAGTGGGCGGTGGTCCTCGTTGCAAATCAACGAGAATGCGATACATATAGCGCGGTAGACTTTAGGTACCTAGGTAGGCATCGGTCAGCTCTCCCCTTCTTTAATACCCTCACTACCTTGCGAAGGAACAAACGGAGTCACGGCGAGGTAGCTGGGCATTTAGACCCGCCCATTCCATCACCGCATTTCATCACAGAGGAAAGCACCGAGAACTCAGCTCCAATAATATGGTTATGATATGGTTATGATATGGTTACAAGGTCCGCATTTCCGTTCCCCTCCTGTAAAATCCCGATCCATACCTGGGTAGTTCATTTCCCCATCCCTCCATCCCCCATTCCCTAATCGACGATCGGCGACAGACATGGCGTAAGAAATCGAACTGAA